AAGTCTCCCATCGTGTTCCCTATGCACTTCTGAAGGCCATTTACAATTTTAGGTCTTATATTTAGAACTTTTATGAATACGTATGTTCTAGGATAAAGGTCCTTTCCCCCTACTAGGTGAATGGCGAATCTTAAAATGAGGTAGAGCTCCAATACTTTGTTAATGTTTTGGCTGCATGTATGCCTATGTATCAGATGCAAGCCTGGTGCCTACAGTGGCCAGGAAAGGGTGTCAAGATTCCCTGGAACTGGAGTTTCAGACATTTGTAAGATACCAGCTGAGTGTTGGGAATTAAACCTGGGTCCTCTTGAAGAGCAGCGAGTGATTGTAACAGCTGAGCCATCTCTCTAGCTTCCACCCCATTTTATTAAAAACAACAAAGTCTTTTTCTTTTCCTTTCCACATAAACTGCAGAATATTTGTGTAAGAAATAGTTTAAGAAGATCTTGTACTTCCATGTGTGGAGATACCCCAATAGTTTAAAAAGATCTTTGACTTCTATGTGTGGAGATAACCCATATGCGCAGATGCCCAGAAAGGTCAGAAGAGGGGATCAGATCCCTTGAAACCGCAGTCACTGTAGTTGTGAGCTGCCTGACACGGGTCCTCTGGATGGACTGCAGGTTCTTTGCTAAGCCAGTCCCTGCATCTACAGGAACCTTTTGAGGCCTAACTTCTTTAGATTTTACTGTTGTATCTTCCAGTTTGTGCACACTTCTCCATTTATTAACATCTTTTCACTAGCAGCGTGGATGATGTAGTGAAACTCCTGCGTCTGTAGTTGGGCTAGTATGCAACACTCACAGAGGCCACTAGAACCAGTGACGTTGTGTGCTGCCCTGTGGTCTTTTCAAAGAGAAGCAAGTGCTCTTAGATACTGACCCATCTCTCCAGCTACTTTTTAAACCTATGATACTGTATTTTTAATATCAGCTACTAAAGATGTAAAGTATCTTTAAAAATATTTTTAAAAAGTTATTTATGTTAGGGTGTTTTGTCCACATGTATGTATGTCTGTGTACCATGTGTGCATCCGGTGTTCAGGGAGGCCAGAAGGGGGCATCAAATTCCCTGGAACTGGCGTTATATACAATTGGTGGTTATAAGTCACTATGTGGGCGCTGGGAATCAAACCTGGGTCCTCTGAGAGTGTCTAGTGTTCTTAACTTCTGAGCTGTATAACCAGCCTAGAGTATCTTTTTATATATCACGTCATATCTTCTTTGAAAAGCAGAAAGCATATTTAAATTTCTTACCCACCCCAAAAAAATGGCATTTTATCTCCTTACAATCTAGATTTTATTATACTTCAGACACGAGCTCCTTACCAGATACACACTAACCTATGTTTTGTCCCATTCTGTGGAATACGGTGTCCTTCGCCCCCTCCCCGTGGTGCTAGTCATTGACTCCAGGGCCTCACCTATACTAGGACTCTACCCCCAGCTACATAGACTTCCGGTAGTGTCCTCAGAAGAACTTTTAAGTTTCTATAGAGTTCAGTTTGTCTCTTCATAAACATGAGACCGAAAACCCCACCACTTTTGCTGGAACTTCAGGGTTTTTTTTTTTTTGTTGTTGTTGTTTTTTGGTTTTTTGAGACAGGGTTTCTCTGTAGCTTTGGAGCTTGTCCTGGAACTCGCTCTGTAAACCAGGTTGGCCTCGAACTCTCAGAGATCCGTCTCTGCCTCCCGAGTGCTGGGATTAAAGGTGTGTGATACCACCGCCCGGCAGTGATTTATATCAAAGAAACTATTGCCTAATTGTTTTCTTTTGGGCTCGGTTGGTAGATTTGCCTTCCATGCACCAAGCTCTAAATTCAACCCCCAGTATTGCATAAACTTGGTACGATGATGCACACCTGTAATCCCAGCACATGGAAGTGGAGGCAGGAGGATCAGACTTTTAAGGTCACCATCCTCTTCCAAAGAGCAAATTCATGAGAAGCCTTAGCTTCTTTGGGTCCTGTCTCAAAAGATTTCTATAGACAGGGTTTCACTGTAGCTTTGGAGTCTGTCCTGGAACTAGCTCTTGTAGACCAGGCTGGCCTCGAACTCACAGAGATCCACCTGTCTCTGCCTCCTGAGTGCTGGGATTAAAGGTGTGCGCCACCTCCGCCCGGCTCATGGTTTTGTTGTTTTTAATGATATAAGATTACTTCTTGCTTAGTTGTCTACAAATCAGAAATCATAGAAACAAAATTCCATTAAATTATCTTGGGTACTCTTGAGAATCAACTGATTACACTATAGGTTTTCAGGACTGTCTATTCTGTTCAGTTAATTTTTTAGTATTTTAGTATTCTGGATCTGATGATTTTACCTAACAATTTTAGGATGCACTTGTCGGTTTCTAAAACATAAGAAAAAATGCCACTTGGGATACTTTAATAGGGTCTGCACTGAATCTGTAGGCCAATTTGGAATTTCTGTGGTTAAGCTTTCTGATTTGGTCTTATAGTCTGCCAACAGTGGCCAAAAGTCCAGTCACTAAGTCACTGCTGAGAATCCTGAACGGTGGAAAGTCAGATTCAGGTGTGTATCAAGTAAAACACAATGAAAAAATGAAGATTCCTCAGCAAAGAAATTAACTGCAGATCCCAGGGAGTCTAAAGGCAACAAGAGTCAGCTAGAAGAATCTGGGGACTGAAGAGGTCAGAGCCTGTGAGATTACATCCTCATTAAAGACAGAGCACTATCATTCCCTCAGGGATAGCAGTTTAAAAATAAAACAACATAAATCCCCACTCCGGGAATGGTAGTACATACCTTCTACCGAAACCCCTAGGAACCCTGTATGAGGTCCTGTCCCCAAATAAACAAGCCGGGCACACACCTTTAATCCCAGAACTTAGAAGGTAGAAAATCTCTGTGAGTTTGAGGTCAGACTAGTCTATAGAGCTAGTTCCAGGACAGCCAGGGCTACACAAAGAAATCCTATCTCAAAAAACAAGAAACAAATTAAACACACACACACACACACACACACACACACACACACACACACACTAAATGAAAACCAAACAAAACACTACCACTTCAGTTCCAAAAGAAAAATCTTATTTCCTGAATTAACTGCTTGCATTTTTTGCTAAAAAATCCATCCAACCATGTGGGGTCTGCTGCTATCATCTATTTATCCTGTTCTACTACCACACTTATTGACAAAAACTTTAGAGCAAATCAGGATGGGAACTGGAAAGCCTCCAATTCTATTTTTCCTTTTGAACATTATCTTTGTTATTTACTGCATTTCCACAGACACACACACACACCGATTCCTACAAAAAGCCTTACACACTTTTACCGTATGACTCTACAGACCAATTGTGGGAAACTAACGTCTTAGCATATGAAACCCTCAAACGAGTACAGTCTTCACTGTGCTGCTGCTCTCCGGTTCTCTCCGCATGTTGCTGTAGTTTTCAGGGGAGAGGTAGATAACCTTCTTAGACATCTGACTTCATGTATAAACCCTTGCATATCAGCCTCATACTCTGAATGGATAATTCTTAGAAATTTACTAAGCAAAATGTTCTTTAATACAAAAAAAAAAAAATCAGAGGATGGGAGACTTGCAAACTGATTTAATGTCCTAAAGGAGTAAAGCACTCTTCTACACACCTGCTCTAGCCAGCACTCCAGAAACCTTGGTTCTAGACGCCTTTCTTGTTTAAAGACTATGTCAGTCCTGAATCCAACTCACTTTGGTGTGCTTCTTGGAAGAAGAGGGAAGCACCACGTCCGCACAGAGAACAAGGACAGAGAAGACATAGCCTACATGACTGGCAGTCGGCAGCCTTGTCTAGCAGGACAGTAAGTGAAACAGCACTTACCAAGATACCAGTTAGAACTAAGAAACATTCAAACAGACTGTGACTGGTGTGGGTGGAAAGATCTGTGAGACTCAAATTGTCCTGGCCAGGTTTGCTGGTTCATGCTTTAATGCCAGTACTCGGATAGAGGCTGAGGCAGTAGGACTGCTTGTGAGTTTAAGACTAGTCTGGGCTACAGGGTATGGCCTTGTCTTAAAGAAACAAAACTTATCTTTATTTGTCATACTTCTAAATATGTCACTGGCAAAAATAAGCCCATCCTTATCCTTTAATTTTTCATTCCTTTTCTTCTCAGTTTGATTCAACAGAGATGAGCATCTGCTTAATCCACAAACAGCTGTGGTGAAAGGGTCCATTTTACCTTCAAGTAAAATCAACGGAAGGCACAACTACTCAGGAATATTTTATATTTCAAAGTATTTAGGAATATTTTAATTAGAAAAATAAAGGCAATGAGATTATCTATCAGGTTCTAAAAGTACCCATGAATTAAGTCACTCACATCTCCACTTAAAAAGTGAGACAAAATTTAAAATCACAATGCTGTTAAACTTTTACAATAAGGAGTAAGGCCATGCTATGCTAGGGTACAAAAATCTGTAATTCTGAGCATGAAAATAATTTATTAGACATCTGACTTTTCAAACATTGGCCCCACTGGAAATAGAATTAACATAGCTCACAGAGGAGAAAAACTATTCCAGCCAACACCTGCTTCATTTCAGACTTCCTGGGGAGTCTCTGCATCCTGGAGGACAGTGTTATCCCAAGCATCCGTATGTTCAATGCTGATCAAATGAATGAGAAACTGGGCAATGTTGCTGGTGATGTGACTTCCAGGACCATTCTTAAGCATAAGAAATAGGACTTCCTGCAGCGAGTCCTTGATAACCAAAGCACAGAACCCCCTTCACTATCCCTGACAAACAGGAAGCAGAGTGTATGCATACTCTGGCCAGAGGGATGCCATAGGAAAATGTCACAAGGAGATTTCTGTGAGACCAAACGTGAACTTTAATTAACATCATCTTTTAATAGGTGATTCTGTCACTAAAAATCAGAGAAAAGAAAATCAGTTAAGAAATGGAGTTAGGGAGAAATGCAGGACTGGAATACGGACTCAGCTGCACTTCCTTGGCTAACTCATTAAAAAATGCCAATTAAATATTTTCAGTCAATTTTTATTTTTTTTTTTTTATAAAAAGCAGCAAATCAACATCACAACTCAAACTTAATCTAAATGTGCACCTGACAGGGAAGCACATCTTTGTGTGGAGTGGAAAAGGTTTTCAAAAAAGCCCATCAGATCCACAATCTCCATAAACCCAAATAAACAACCACTCTTTGTAAGTTGTGCGAAGTGACTCACAGGAACTGAGGAGCTGCTGCTGTGGAGACAAATCTGGAGTCAGTAGCAGGAGTCTGGGGGTCAAGTTAAAAAGTTGAAAATGTGGTAAGAAACTGTGTGGAGGTTGGGGGACAGGGTAAGAGAGAGTCTGTAAGCCAGTTGACCCAAGAGCAACTGATATCTCTAACGTTTCAATTGAGACCAGGCATGTTAAATCTCCATTTTTTTTTTAAAAGAAGGCAATTAAAACTTACAATTCCAACAGACCACAAACCAAATAAAAATATTGTAAAAAAGAATCAAAACTATGTCCAGAGCTCCACCCCCATCTCATTTTCAGCACCCCAAGGAAAATAAAAGCATCCATATGACTATCACAGATGAAAACAAAATAAATGTCACTGGAATCATTTTTCCCCCACTGAGGTATAAAATCTATATAGAAATCTGATACTATAACAAATTGTACTTCTCATAATTCTGTTTTAATTTCCTTTAAACCCTGTTTGACATAATTTTTATTGTTGTAAAAATGTTTTCATGATTCTGAACCTGGTTCCAGTTCTTTTCCACTTACTTTTCTATCAATATTTAATATTTCAGCTACTGGTTCTAATCAGGAGATCTCTTCTTCAGGAGGCACACTCAGCCGACACGGCTGACGTGCACGACCGCTATGGAAGGTGCATCTATCCAGAGAGCACATTCTGCGCCTGTCTGGGATCGGAAGGCCACTCGCCACTGTTCTTGATGAAGACTCTTCAGTCTTGTAAACATCAGTGTGCGCAGTCTCACTACTTTGCAGTCTCACGTCCTGGGACAGGAAGGCTGGTTCACAGCAAGTGAAAAGCTAGAGGAGTCTGAGTTTTAATGGCTGATAAACCTTACATCCCACAGAAGAGGACAACACTTCTCCTTTTTTGCTACTTAAGAATGTGGCAGAAACGTATGCTGAGGTAGCCCAGTCAATCCTTATTTTTTTTTCTTTCATTTTTCTTTTTGTTGTTGTTGCTGTAAATTTGGTCTCAGAATATTTCTGGAAGGGTGACATTTCGAAGAAGCCACTGCTGGGACCGGCTTCCAGTGCAGTCTCTAATGCTGGGCACCTGGCTGTCCTCTTCCGTGGCTTTATCCAGGCACTGGTTACTGTTCACATGCTGCAGGGTTAATTTCTGAAAACAGCAGGGGAAATACACACCTTAACTAGAAAGTGGAGGAAAAAAATAACACCCCAGTCCCCTTTGGAGAACTGTACCACATCAACTAGGCTGGCCTAGAACTCCAAGAGATCCACCTGCCTCTGCCTCCCAAGTGCTGGGATTAAAGTTGTGTGCTACTGCCACACAGACTGCCACACACACACACACACACACACACACACACACACACACACACACACTTTAGCTTCCTTAAAGCAAAAAGAAAAATCCAGGCCAAGTTAAGTGACTACTGATGGAGGAAGGTCATTGGTTAAATAAAAAGAAACTGCTTGGCCCTCATTGGTTAGAAGATAGGTGGGAGGAGTAAACAGAACAGAATGCTGGGAGGAAGAGGAAGTGAGCTCAGACTCCACAGCTCTCCTCTCAGGAGCAGACGCCTCAGAGAGACGCCATGCCCCGCTCCCGGGCAGACATACGTCATGAAGCTCCGACCCAGGATGGACTAGGCTAGAATCTTCCCGGTAAGACCGGTGCTCACAGATTATTAGAGATGGGTTGATTGGGATATCAGAATTAGCCAGTAAGGGCTAGAGCTAAAGGGCCAAGCAGTGTTTAAATGAATACAGTTTGTGTGTTGTTATTTCGGGGCATAAGCTAGCCAGGCGGCTGGGGTGCCAGGGACGCAGCCCCGCCACCCTAATTACTACAGACTACTAACATTCCCTCGAACATATTTCCAAACAACTACTTCAATTTTTATTTCTCTGTGATAAGGCTGCTTAATTCTGTGATTCTAAACTCTAAGATTTTAGAAACTTGGGTCCTTCTAAAGATTCAAAACATAAGAATGCTGGTGTGGCTGAGACACACTACAATTAACCATAAGCCTAGAAATCAACTCCAGAAATCATCCTTGTGGTGGAGGAAGGGATTGTGGTATACAAGAGCATAGAAACCTAGAGAAGACTGGTTCATAGCCTAGACAACCTGGGCTTTCTCACTTGAAGATAAATATCACAATACAAGACACATTTTGAGAAGATTCTGGAAGGCAGTAACAACAGGTAACTATGTGGAGCCTCACACGCAAAGGACTGCCAGAGAGGGACACGGCTGTCCACCTTGGTGCTTATGTTTTAGGCATGAGACTTTCATGCTGATTTTTAGGGTCATTTCTAAAAGGCAAGACAAATAAGAGTGAATTCATAGTCATAATGGTCCAGAATGAATGTGTTCCAGAACAATGAATTACTGGTGTGTGGTGCATACCGAGTGATACCCTAGTGGGTCAGATAGCTACAATGCTAATGAACACACATTATCGGATTCTTTACTCCTGTCTTGATTTTAATGTGAATCTTTTCTCTGCAAGACCTTACTTAAAATGTTTATATATTTTGTCAGGTGGTGGTGGCGCATACCTTTAATTCCAGCACTTGGGAGGCAAAGGCTGTCTGATCTCTGTGAGTTTGAGGCCAGTTTGGTCTACAGCGTTAGTTCCAGGACAGCCGGGGCTACACAGAGAAACCCTGCCTCAAAAAACAAAACAATTTTAAATTTTACTTTATGTGTATGAGCATTCTTTTGCCTGTGTGCATGTCCGTATACCATGTGTGTGCCTGATGCCTTTGGAGGTCAGAAGAGGGAGTCAGATCCCCTAGAAATGGAGTTATAGACAGTTGTGAATCAGTATGTGGGTGTTGGGAATTGAACCTGGGTCTTCTGTTAGAGCAGCCAGTGCTCTTAACCACTGAGCCAACACTCCAGCATCTGAAACATCTCATTTTCATGATGTCTCTTTTAACACTTGTGTTAATTTAAAATATAACAGAAACTAGTGACTGCATCCATCTACTCTTTCTTCTAGTTCTCTATTACTCTGTGCCGTGTCCAAGTGAGACCTGGCAAATAGCTGTATACTGTAGATGTTACCATCACACTGACCCGAGGTTCTGTATTATCTACTTAATTCTCACAGATGCAGGAGAACTGAAGCTCGAGGACAGTGAGTGCAGCTGTGGCTGTGATGGTGCTAGCTCTTCTCATGCAGGTGCACACAGTCTAGCAGCCAGCGCTCAGGCTCTGCACGCATGCACTTCATTTCAGCCTTCAGTTCCAGCTGAGACAAAACCAGTGCAGGATTAAGGACGAGTTCAACATTCCACAACTCCCTATCAAGGTGGCACCTGTCCTGAGGCTCAAGGTCAAGATTACTAAAAAAACCAAATACAACAAAAACTGTGACTGGGCATTTAGTTTTTCCAAGACAGGGTTTCTCTGTGTAGCCAGGGCTGTTCTGGAACTCACTCTGTAGACCAGGCCGACTGCCTCTACCTCCTTCCTGAGTGCTGGGATTAAAGGCGTGAGCCACCACCACCCAGTTCCTTCCCAATTTCTAAAAACACCTCTCTTTACCCCCTTTTCTGAGACAAAGCCTTGCTATATGGAGCCCAGGCTGGCCTCAAATAACTCACAGTCTACCTCCACGTCCTCGGAGTGCTGTGATCCTAGGCCTGTGCCACCACATCCAGTTTCTAGAATCTGGAAATGCTCCATGCTGGGTACTCAAGTGCTCAACATCCAGACTGAACTGGTATTATCAGGAGGCAAGCCCTGCAGGAGACCTAAACACTGGGAAGAACCTTGCTCTAGACAAGGCTCGGGCTGATAGAGATGCAGAGCTCCAAGGCTCCAGTACTGCGCTTTGTCATCAGAGGACTCAGCAGACACCTAGGTAACACTGGCAAGTCTCCAGAGAGAACATGATTCTGGCACTGGGCAGGCAAGTGACACATTTTTAACTGCAACCCTTGAAGCAGAGGATAAAAGCTTTCATTACTTATTGCAAAGGCTACCTACATAATAGAAAAAATATTCATCTACTTCCTGCGTCCAATCTCTCAATGTAAATGGCTCTCAATCTCCATCGTATTTCAGAGGAGACAGCACAAGCAGTAGAAGGGAAGGAGCTTATTGTCATACTATACATTTTATAAAGTACATAATATAAACAAGATTTAAACATGCATGAACATGCAAATTTAATCAAATATAGTAGGGTACTGAACAAAGTATCTTGGATCAAGAACTAAGAATCCCGGGTCTGAGATCTAACTTAGACCATCTACCCACTGTGATACCAGGAACAATTAATTTTTACCCATGGAACAGTGTCCTGGATTTTAGCTCTTGGGTTCGTATGGGCTGCCCTCTGTCTCCAGAGCGCCCTCTGGAGTTTACTCAGGCTAGCCAGGCAGCTTGCTTTTCCCTTTCGTTTTCACAGTATTCAGAAATACTCCCTAGTAAACACCTCAATAGTTAGTTTTATCCTGGAATCTGAGAGAAACCAGCCTAAGACATAATTAATTTAATTTCTGGGAAACAAACTTTGCACAGTGATGTGAAGTTTAAACTTCACACGTGCAGTGGGTTCTTTGTAAATACTCAAAGGCCTCTCTATTCTCCTGCACCTCTAATCGACACTCACTTTGCAAATGTTCACTGAGGTAGGACTAGCCAACAACCATTTCCAATCTCTGGGTCTTGGTCATCTCACACTGCAAACATAAGAAAACCAAACACTTACTTTTCCTGCCTTCCTTATGGTTCACTATGGGACAAATCTACAACTCCCAAGAAATAAGCACAGCTTGTCAAGAGCGTTCCAGGAAAAACTTATTTTCCTGAAAAGAAGAGTAACATATCTGAGAGTAAAGCAGCCCATGGTCTTTTCTTTCAGAGCTGAGATTATAGTTAGCTTAAACATCAGAGTACGCTGCATGGGAGGTCCTTGGACTTTCCACAGGGCAGGGAACCCTGACTGCTCTTCGGGCTGATGAGGGAGGGGGAGTTGGTTGGGGGAGGGGGAGGGAAATGGGAGGCGGTGGCGGGGAGGAGGCAGAAATCTTTAATAAATAAGTAAATAAATAAATAAACTATATACAATAGGAACAGATATCAAGTATAAAATTACAAACAACATAAACAATATTAAGCAAGGAACACATGATAAATGTTTTAATAAACATTCTATTCTGCCTGTTCTGTCATAAAAACAAACAAACAAACAAACAAAAACACAAAAAAACCCCATCAGAGTACGCCTAATCTACACCAGAAACCATATACCTAGAGACTTGTGTAAAAAAAAAAAATATCTATTCAATGGAGCTACTTAAGTAGTTCAGTACTGCATAATTAATATACTGTCATATCCCAACAAACTGAAAATAAGGAGCTTTTTCATTTTAAAAGCTGTTAGTTGTCACACTGGCTATGTCCCTGGCACCTGCTAGAAAGAAATAGATATTGCACATTCTTTAAGGCAAGAGACAGTCACACTCACGATGGCAGCAGCACACATCCAGAAACAAACAGGGAATGTTTGGAATATCCAATGGCTATAATGACTGTATCAGTTACTATGAACCACACTAGCTATAAATCTGCCCATACGCTGTAGCTTCTATATCTATAGACAACTGGGGAACTCACCACTGGGTCATACTCCCAGAGCTGGTTGCCTTTTAGGTGGTGGCATTTGAGCATGGTAACTGGGCCATTAAGTTTGGAAACGTCCAAACACAAGTCATCGGTTCTAATTTCTTTGTTGGCAGTATAAGAGAAAACCTGAAAAGTAAACATAAACTTATATAAGTAAGCTTTAACAGTAAAAAGAAATTAGTCCGCATTTCAGATGCCCACATTTCTACATTTGTAGCCACGAGACAATGAAGACATCGGGAACAGTTTCAACAGAGGGATAATGAGCATATAGATAAAAACCGTAACTCCAAGTTTAAACTTTGCCTGGACCACTCTCAAAAGAATCTGCAACTACTTCAAGACACAGGATTCATGTACATTGTCACAGTAATGGAGAATGAAAAACTGAGAAAGCTATACCAATTTTACACAGAGGAAAGTAAAAATCCACATTGTTTTCTGGAGGCTGAGTGTATTATTAAGGGCAGTCATTTTTTTTTTCCCTAAAAAGGACAAAACAAATTTTGTGCTCAGTAATGTTAATTCAGTGGTTAAAGAGACCTTATAAAAATCTTTTATTGATGAGAAGCCAAGGACAATGGCACGGGGTTTTGATCCTACTTCATGTACTGGCTTTGTGGGAGCCTAGCCAGTTTGGATGTTCACCTTCCTAGACATGGACGGAGGGGGGCGGACCTTGGACTTTCCACAGGGCAGGGAACCCTGACTGCTCTTTGGACTGGAGAGGGAGGGGGAGAGGAGTCTGGGGGGAGGGGGAGAAGGGTGGGAGGAGGGGGAGGGAAATGGGAGGCTGGGAGGAGGCGGATACTTTTTTTTTCCTTTTCTCAATAAAAAAAAAATTATTGTTTTGCCAAAAAAAAAGAATAATAAACCACACATGTGTAATATAACAAAATACCTTTAAAACCTTTAAAATAAACACAACATACCTATCAGTAATAAAAAAAAATTATTAGAGGAGGCAGGCAGATCTGAGTTCAAGGCCATCATAGTCTATATTGAAAGCTTCCCAAGGTTACACACAGTGAGAGCTATATAAAAATAATACAGTATCAATCATTAGATTGAAAGCACCTTTCACCTAATACTTTTTTTTTTTTTTTTTTGCTTTTTCGAGACAGGGTTTCTCTGTGGCTTTGGAGCCTGTCCTGGAACTAGCTCTTCTAGACCAGGCTGGTCTCGAACTCACAGAGATCCGCCTGCCTCTGCCTCCCAAGTGCTGGGATTAAAGGCGTGAGCCACCACCGCCCGGCTCACCTAATACTTTTATTATTTTTTAAATATATAAAAATGTTTCCTGAATAATGTTATAGGAGTAAAAGAACAAAGTAAACCAAAATCGAAAGCTGTTTGCAAAGTTTAGTAAGGATACTCACCTGATTGCCTCCCATACCGTGACAATTGAAAATTCCAACCTTTTCATTCTCTTTTCTAGCCATGTTATCTAGACACTGATTTGTTTCCACATTTCGTATCTGTGGGACGTGAAGACGTCAGGAGTTAGACATAGAAGCTTAACTAAAGGAGAGGTGCATACAGATAATACCAAAAGCCAACCCTTTATTATTTCTTTTTGTTGGTTTTTTGAGACAGGGTTTCTCTGTGTAATTGCCCTAGCTGTCCTGGAATTCACTCTGCAGACCAGGTGCCTCCATCTCAGAGATCTGCCTGCTGGGATTAAAGGTGTGCACACCTTTAAATGGTGGCATATGTCTTTAAACACAGCACTTTAGAGGTAGAAGTAAGCAGGTCTCTGTGAGTTGGAGGCGCCTGGTTTGCAAAGTGAATTCCAGGACAACCAGCTAGGGCTGTTACAGGAGAAACCCTGTCTTAGGGAAAGAAACAAAAAACAAAAAAAACTGTGCACCACCACACCCAACATCTTTTATTATTTCTTTAGTGGTACTTATGGGTGCCATCAACAGTTGTCTAAGTGGACTTAGGGCCCACACAATAGGAGGAAATTCATATTTGGTACAATAAAATCCTAGTCACTCACACATAACTAATGAAGTCATGGATCTTAGAGGAGAACCTATGACTGCGATTTTTCTAAACCAGTATAATTCTAGTTGCATTCTAAATATTTATCCAGGTAGCTCTCAGTCCTCATTAAAGAAGTTTCTTTTTGAAGCAGATAGAGACTATCACAGAAAGCCACAACTGGTCAAAATACTGAGAACAGAATGGAATGCTCAGCCTCAGTCGATAGAACACAACCCCTACAACAAAGGCTTAGGGAACATCATAAAGGAACAGGAAAACTATAATAGCCAAGGATCAGGGTTTCTGCTTCAAGACAGTGTCTTCTATATATGACAGGGAAGTTGCACCAATGAAATCTCAACAATATGGTCACCTAAACATGACTTGCATAGTAACACCACCAGTTGGCATGCCAATGAGGTGTTTACATAAGAGGATAGGGGAAATATCACAAGGTCCCACCTATAGATGAAAAACTATAGGCAATTAATGGCTGTTATGAGAAGGAGAATCAGTTTTTTCCAGGGACAAGCCCTCGGCTTATTCAATCCCAGTCAGTCAGTCCTAGACAAATGTATATGAGGGCAACAGCAGACTCAAGTACGGTATATGTGTATATGTGTGTGTGTGTGTGTGTGTGTGTGTGTGTATGTATGCAACAAGAGTTAAAGAGGAAGAGGTTTCTAATTTGAAAGGGAAATGAGGGGGGTGACACAGAAGGAGCTGGGAAGAGAGGGGTGGAAATGATCCAAATAAAGTACTTATTTATACATCAAGGGTTCTTTAATTTTAAATTAAAACTTTTATTTGTTCTCATTTCTTTCATTCTTTCACTGCTCCTTTAGGAATTACATTCAGTTCAAAATAATTCTATTTTCAGTAATAACTTAAAAGCAATTTTACAACTCTTCAAGGACACAAGGTGTCCCTTTTGACAATCCAATCCCCCTGATGACTCCTCGGCAAACTAAAGATAGACATTTTCTGGCTTGTGTGGAAGCAGCCACATGATGGTGCGGATTTCACTTTCCATTAAACATTAATCCACTCCACAAAAACAGTTTAACTGTGTCATCAGAAGAGAGACATCTGAATGTCTGTAAGGCACTCAGACTGCTGCTTTATATGAAGTGGATGCCAAGGCAATGTGAGAACCATCAGAACTGCCTGAATCAGTGTCTGCTCTGCCTTAACACCAGCTATCCCAGGAAGGTCAGGGTCCAAATCTGTGGTTGCTTACAATAGTCAATGGATTAACAACTATTAGCTATTATGAGGAAACATAACATTATTTTGGTTTCAAATTCTATAGTATGAGTACTGGAAGGCAGACTTGGTTAAGACAGACATCTTAATAATCATGCCCCAGAAAAGACCTGGCACAAAAGGACCACAGGCTATGTTTCTGAGGCAATGGCAAGAATAGCAGATGGTAAAGCCTATGCCACGTGCGAAGCCAGCAGATAAGAAGAGGTCAACTTGCCTTGGCAACCATGTTCCACGGTTTGGACATGTATCACCCTTTAATTTGTTGGAACTCAAGCCCAGCTAACAATGTTTGGGCATTGTCTAAAATTGGGTCAGTTCAAAAAAAGAAAAGAAGAGAAGAAGAAGAAAGGAAGAAAAAGAAAGAAAGAAAGAAAGAAAGAAAGAAAGAAAAAACCAAACAAACCACCTTTCACTCCATAAAGGAGTGGCTGCTCCATGTCCTTCAGAGGCACGTACTTAACCTAGATTTTACTCACTCAAGGGGAGAATGTGCAGGAAGGGAGAGGGTGATGGGTTTACTCACTCACCAGCATCAGCTCCCTTCCGGGACCTCTGTACTCAAACAAGTCTAGGCTTCTGTTTGCCCTCTTTCCCACGCCTCTATCACCAGCAGCCCCCGCCTTACTCTCAACCAATAATCTGTATTCACCTGAAGTCATTATTTAAGAGGACTTCTCAAGCATCCACATAAACTACCACTCTCATCTGACTTGTACTTGACTCCACCTCTCCTTTCTATTCTGTCCCAAGGGATGAACTGCCTGTGTCCCATCCTTTACTCCCCTCAGTGCTGGATCCCATCTCCTAACCATTTAGGGTCTTTCTCTTTTTTGTATAACATAAAATTTACCACCATAGCCAGTTCCAAAGAGTCAGTTCAGAACTGCTAAGTCCATTCCCACTGCTATGAAAAAGGTCTCTAGAACCTTCCCAGTTTATAAACCTGAACCACTTCAGCCACTAAACAAACCATTTTCCTACCTCTATCAGTCTGTGGTAACTACTGCTTTCTGTTTCCATGCACACAGCCACTATAGCTCTTTCCAGAAGTGAAACTACATTATGTTTGTCGTCATTCTATTTCACTTAAGCAAAACGTCTTCAAAGTTCATTTATGAGGTAATGCATATATGTCAGGATGTCTATCCTTTTGAAGGACTGTATGTACATACAACTTTCTGCTTATCATTCCATCATTGGATGTCTGGGACACCCAAGTTGCCTCTGCCACTTAGGTTGGGTCAGCAGAGCTGCCATGAGCATGAATCTCAGAAGAGGGAACCATATCCCTTGGGAATGGAGTTACAGATGGTTGTAAGCTACCATGTGGGTGCTAGGGACCAAACCTAGTCCCCCTGAAAGGGCTTAAAACAATTGAACCAAACTCTGTTCAAAACTTTCCATCTTTTAGCATCACTCCTGATTTTATAAATGATTAAGGTCCTCAACCCCATTCTTAAACAAATTTCCTTATAAGTGGGTAAAACATGAAACCACCAGAACCCAAACATTCTTAATAAAGCCTCGAAGAATCCTGGCATGACCAAGGCCCCAGGCTGCACCAGACCCCAGAAACTGACTGTGAAAAACTCAGCACACACTTTATTTTCATAAAAGGAAAATAATCTCCCCTTCCCCATATTATCCTCTAGCCATCATCTACTTCTCTGCATTATTTACAGAAAAATGCCTCGCCTTGCAAGACTGTGCACATTCAGGCTCCACACTTGTATTCTCCCTAATACTCTCCATGGGCACTCTCGCATACTGAGAGTACTAACAGAATCTCCCTAATCTTCCATACTCAGGTTATGCTTTCTCCATAGTAGTCACATAGTTAAGCACCTACTTTTTGAGACAAACCTTTCACTTAAGTCTCTCAAACATCATTCTCCTGGTTCTCCTTCTGCTCTACTTTTTAGTTTTCAGACAGAGCCTCATTATGCAGCTCTGGAACTCACTACATAGACTAGACTGGCCTCAAGCATGCAATCCTGCCTCCGTGCTCCCAAGTATTAGGATTAATATCCATGATTTCCAAACTGTACCAGATGCTTATGGCTGTGTTCTCTTCTCACTTGATCCTCTAAATGGTCTGTGTGCGTGTACAACGAACGATACAAGCACATGTGTGCATCAAGACTGGAAAGTTCACACCTACCGTGGTGACAACCTCAACTGTCCATCTTCACTCTGAAATGAAGTCTTTCTTTCTTCCTTGCTATTTTTTACTGCATAAACCAGGCCAACTGACCCAGGAACTTTCAGGGATTCTCCTGTCTCTGCCTCTCACCTCACCACACTCACGCTCAGCTTTACATGGGTTCTGAGGATCTGAACTCAGTTCATGTCTGTGAGGCAAGCGCTTTACCCACTGGGCCATCTTCCCAGCTTACCCTCATGGTTTTGTCCTCATCTTTTATTACCTATATATTTGTTTTTTTTTCTAGACAAGTAACCTCCCTACTATTTCTGGGACATGCCAAGTTCATACTCATCTTAGCAACCTTTGTACTCATTCCCCCATTGCTCTGAAACGTTAACCTAAGCAACACTTGGCTTAGTTATTCTTTCTTCAGGATTTTGCTCACAAATTACCTTAAGGGTGCCTTCCTCAACTACCTATGTAAAATAGAACAATTTTCATGCTCACCAGGCATCCTTGTTCTCATCTGTTCTTGCCACTATCTGACACACTGTATATTTTTAATTTTTTTCAAATAGACTATAAGATCAACAAAAACAAAATTTTACGCCATGTTGCATTGTGGGCACTCAAATAGTTGTTGAATGAAGAAAAAACCGTGAAGAAATTACAACCTCCTACAGAGCTGGGGTTACATACCCTGAGTGTCAGGGAGGATATGGCTGTGGTCTTTCTGACAAATAAACTCATGTCAGCTAATGCTTACAAAAGGAAATCTGTCACAATTCAACTTCTATTACAAAACAGGTTTCTCCCTCTATTTGGCTTTATAATTTTTTTCTATAAGCTAGATTTAAAATAAAGTCCTAAATGTTCCACTACTACAGTGGAGGAATGGTGGTATAAAGGCAAGAACAGGCAGCATAGACATATTTCAACCCAATGGAAACTGAACTTTTTGGGAGGATGTGATGGTTTGAAAAAAATGGCCCCCAAGGGAGTAGCACTATTAGGAGGTGTGGCCTTGTTGGAGAAGTGTCACTGTGAGAAAAAGCTTTGAGGTCTCATATATGTTCAAGATCCCGCCCAGTGTCTCAGACCACTTCCTGTTGCCCATGAGTCAAAATGTAAGAACTTTTAGCTCCTTCTTTAGCACCATGTCTGCCTGCATGTTGCCTTGCTTCCCGCCATGATGATAATGGACTGAACCTCTGAACTGTAAGTGAGCCACCACAATTAATGTTTTCCTTTATAAGTGTTGCTGTGGTTATGGTGTCTCTTTACAGCAATAGAAACACTAATTAAGACAGAGGAGAAAAGGGCGAAAGTGTAGAATTTACACTAACAAGTAAAGGGAGTAAGGAAGTTGTTGGAGGAAGCTGTTTGTTCCTGGCTGCCCACACTTGAAATAATCACAAAATTACAAAAATAATTATTTGCAATACTGGTTGGCCAATAGCTTAAGCATATTTCTAGCTAGCTCTTATATCCTAAACTAACCCATCTCTATTAATCTGTGTATCACTAGGTAGGCAAGGTTCCGGTGGGCTCCGGCAGAGGTGTCTGTCTCCTGTGGATGGCTTCTCCCTGACTTCGCCTACTCCCTCTATACATCTCTTTCAGCCTGACTTTACTCTGTTAAGCCACTGGTCAAAGTAACTTCTTTATTAACCAATGGCAATAAAAAATATTCACAGCATACAACAGGAAGTAAAACAAGTTAAATTTTTACCAACTGAGGAAAATGCTTCAATAAAGGCTCAAGCAATCAAAGACTACCTGGAACAATAGGTAAGGATAAGGAATACACCAATGATTGCTCCTAAGTGCATACCTCAGGGGCCAGAGAATAACTCTGTCCAGTTTGTGAGCCATCTGGTCTCTAGGACAACTGCTCAGCCCAAGCACCACAGTATAAAAGTGACTCAAGGTGGTAACGAAACACAAGCAAGGAATCAGACTAGATTTACCTTGGCACCTCAAAGAACCTTCCCTTTGTCCTCTTTGAAATCTTTCTGTAAACACAATGACTATAGGATCTCAAGAAGGTTGCCACGGGGGCCTATGCCATGTAAGGTGTTCTAACTTCCAAGACTGTCTACCAGCCTCCATCGAAGGAGTTTTAGAGGGAGGAGGAAGGGAAAAGGACTGACTGTACTGTGAAGGGAGAGGTCCTGTGTCCTGGAAAAGACACAGAAAGGTAGGCAACAAAGAAGGGCAAATAACCAAAAAACATTTGATGGTAAGTCCTATAAACATAATGCTATCAAATCTTGACCACAGTAATTCCCACTTACAACTGACAATAAAAACTCTTTTGAGTCACAGTCCAGTAAAAACAAATTCTTTTAATATACTTAATACATTTATTCCTAGATTATTATTATAAGAGGCTAAACTGATGATAAATCTATACTAGGCTGTTGAAAATTACTGCCTTCAACTAACAAATAGGACCTTGATAAGTTAGAAGATTACAAGAAAAAGATACCTTACCAGGTGGTAGTGGTGCACACCTTTAATCCCAGCACTTGGGAGGCGGAGGCAGGCTATGAGTTCAAGGCCAGCCTGGTCTACAAGAGCTAGTTCCAGGACAGGCTCTAAAGCTATGGAGAAACCCTGTCTCGAAGCAAAATAAAACAAAACAAAAAGAAACCTCAAATCTTTATGGTTTAATAGGCTGTGGTATTCGACTCTAATGAAGGAGTAGTCCAATGCTTTTGATTTAACACTGGGGGTGGGGGAATCTGAAAAAATGGTACAGTACTTGTTAAGTCCTAATTCAGTGACGCACACACGAATCTCTAGGGTGGCCATGGAAACAAAGACATGACAACCACTTAAGAAGAAATCAAAAGACGAGAGTAAATTTGAATAAAAAGAAATGGTCCATTTGAGGAAACAGAGTTACTAAAACTACGTGGAGATGGCTGGTTTTCTTCCAAGAGAAGGAATAACTCAGGCTCCAGAAGAACTTTCACTTAGAGGCTGAACTTTTAAACAAAGGATGCAAAAAGATCAGACATCCAGTCTAAGAAATCTGAATTTTTGCGGGGTGGGGATGGGGTGGGAAGAGGACAGGGGTGTGGGTAGACATGGTCTCTCTATTATATAGCTCAAACTTACAGAGATCTACCTGCCTCTGCCTCCCAGTGCTCAGATTAAAGGCAAGTGTCACCACACCCAGCTCTTATCTGAATTCTTAAACACAGAAAGGAAGTTTGGCTAGGAGTCAAAACTGATAGCTAACTGGCATTAAATAAACAGGACACAAGAATGTTTTACTGTCAAAGTCATTATAACAGAAGCCAAGATCTTTTTCATACTAGAGTCCTTAGTATGAACAGGCACTGAGATAAAAAGGACAACTAATTTGCAAATTTGTCTTATCTATAAGTATTAATAAGCCAATTATTTCAAGAAAAAATAATACTGAATTCTAAAGAATCATCAGAAACAAATATGCTTTTCAGCATTTCCCCCCACTTCCCTGTTTAAACTATGAAAACTTAAAATTCCCAAAGGAAAATAAACATCCATCCACTTACATACAGAACTGTTTCAACCTTCCTTGTCAAGTTAGCTTCACTCTGAAATTTCTCAGGCTTTGATTTGGACTAACCCATGGTTATTCACTTTAGAAGTACAGGTTTCAAGGAAATGGCTTAGCTTGTTGTTAATATAAGTCCACCGAAGACACTGCTACATTGTAACAAGAGTCTTCTTGGTAATGGTTCAGATGGTTCTTAGTTTTCCTGTGGGTACTGGGACCCAAACCCCAGTTTTCTGTAAGAACAAGTAAGCCAAGCAATCTCTCCAGCCCTAAGCATCTTTATTTTAATAAAACATAATGTGATAAAGATGTAGTAAGATTTTGCTGAGGAAGTGGCTCAATGATCAAGCATTTGCTTATCATGTGAAAGTTCTCAGGGTTACTTCCTAGTACTGGGGTGGGGGAGCCAAGAATTTAGTAAAATTTCATATTATGAGGCAGACTCCATTAATTAACAAGAACTTATCCATACTTGAGGTTAATACTTTATAATATCAAAGATAATTTAAGAACCTAGACGTTAGAAGTTTTAACTTTTAAATAACTATACAGAATAAATATATTACACACACACACACACACATTTGTTTTTACCTCTCCCAATGAGAAATAGTGACGTGGAATTTGAGAATCAGGGTAAATATTTTCTAGGTACCAAGAGAAAGGTTTGCATTGTAGTTTATGTCTCAGACCAAGTCTTGATGATATATCTCCATAATCTACCTTTGTAACACCTGTTGAAAGAAATAATTGACTGATTTATTAGAGTTCTATCTGGTAACACACGTCTACCTATATGCGCATTCTCACAAAGCAACTGAATGGGAAGCAGGATTATCAGGTGATGGATGACACTACAGGTGATGCCATACGGACCACCTTCCAAAGGAGAAAACAGGACAAGGCATTAGCGCGTATTTTGATTTTATTCAAAGGAAACAAATTCATGTGAAAATGTAACAAATAAAAATATTAAACAACAGTTAGTCACACAGAAATCAGGAAACTTAAATGTATATTAAGGTAAAAATAAAAAAATTGCCAGACAGTGGTGTGCAGGCCTTTAATCCCAGCACAGGCCTCGCGGTTCTCTGTGAGTTCAAGGTCAGCCTGTTCTACAAGAGCTAGTTCCAGGACAGGCTTCAAAGCTACAGAGAAACCGTGTCTCAAGAAACTGAAAAAACTACGTGGCACAAGTATTAAATAGGACAACTACACCCATCAGCTTTCTCTCACAGAATTTGCTGGACTTTGCTCATACCCACTGGAGTCTTGAAGAATTGTAACTGAACAACCAAGGCAGAATAGTAATGATTTCAGAGAGGCATATCTCTGGGAAGAAACAGACATACAAAAGCCCGATTAACAGAGCGAATTCTTAGAAAGTCTCTTGAGGAATGCTGTAGCCTCTGCATTGGCTATGTGACGAGAGATGGTTTCATTAAAGTCTTATACAGCAGCACTAAAGGTCTGCTTATGGAGAATGCTAATAACTTGCTTCTGAGGTGGTATTGTTCTAGGGACAGGGGATGTGGCTCAGTTAGGAGTACTTAACTAGCATATATGAAAGTCTGGGTTTAGTCCCCCAGCATCACATAAAACATGTATGGTAAAGCAGGCAGGCACACTTGGGAGATGGAGGCAGAAAGATCAGAAGCTCAAGGATATCCTCAGCTACACAGTGAGTTTGAGGCTAGCTCGGGATACATGAGCCCGTCTCTACGTACATATATAAATCCATAAATAAGTACTGGTATTTTTTTTTAATTAATTTATTTATTAAGGATTTCTGCCTCCTCCCCGCAACCGCTTCCCATTTCCCTCCCCCTCCCCCGATCAAGTCCCCCTCCCTCATCTGCTCGAAGAGCAATCAGGGTTCCCTGACCTGTGGGAAGCCCAAGGACTGCCCACCTCTATCCAGGTCTCATAAGGTGAGCATCCAAACTGCCTAGGCTCCCACAAAGCCAGTACGTGCAGTAGGATCGAAAACCCACTGCGATTGTTCTTGAATTCTCAGTATTCCTCATTGTCCGCTATGTTCAGCTAGACTGGTAGTACTGGTATTTTTAATGTTGGCTAAAAATGCCAAATGTCCAGAGAGTGCTTTGTCAGCTAGGAAAATGGCTGAAATTTAATAAGATGAAATCTCAGAAATGTCAAATGCTATAGTGAGATAAAAAGAAAATTCTTTCTCTGATTCTCTCTCTCTCTCTCATATACACACACATGGGGGAAAAACGTACACTTTGTATATATCATGCAAAGTATACTAACCTGGAGAAATTATATAGAAGAAATTCTTGAATTCATCCATCCATACTTCTGCAAGCCGTCTATTATTTTTATTGATAATCTGCCCTGTCCCTCCTGGAAACGTGTAAGGTGTAGCTTTACGAAACACATGACCAACGTGGGAACAAGTCACAATTTCCAAAGTTCCTCCACATTGCCAAATCTGAAAACAGCAGGATGAAGCTTAGTACCTACTTTCCAAAGCTGCTGTAGCATTCATGTGGTATTTTTTTTTCAATTGAACAGGGGGGTTGACTTTTAATTTATAGCCTTGAATGGAAAATCTGTAGTTACTGATAAATTCTTCCCAATATGTCTATAAACTACCAAATCTGAACAAAAGAGTAAAGTGGATTGCGTTGGACATACAGTTTAAAATTCAGAACACAAGCCTGCCTGTGGTGACCTACACCTTTAATCCCAGAATTCAGGAGGTAGAGGCAATGGACCTCCATGAGTTAAGGCCAGCCTGATCTACATTGTGAGTTCCGGGCTAGCCAGTGCTACATAGTGAGATTGGGTCTCAAAAATAAACAACAAAGCTCAAGACTCCGAGATCCTGCTTTGGTGTACAGCCAATACTTCCCAGGGACCAAACATTTTTTCAAAATTTTGGTCAAAATCAGATAAAATACAAACTAGACAAGCTATGATGAACTACGCAGGAAGAGTGAGAGACACAAGAGCAACTCCAAATGCAGGTGACTCACAGCATCATTAACTCACCCCGCTCAGGCTCAATCAACCCTTGTCAACAAGGACACACCACTTCAGGAAATGTTCAGTGTCACTTTGTTTTGTGTGTTTAACATGTTTGATGTGGCTCATGATTTAACACTCACCACACACACCCATGATCAGGGAGTATTCAGCCAAATTTGTTTCTATTTCTGTCTCTCCAAATTTGAGCCACTACTGACATATCACACAGAACAGACACCAACCATGATTCTTCAACAAGACAGAGATAGTATGTTCTGATCTATTTGTCCAATCAATAAGACACATGGACCAAAAGAAAAATTAAGTATAGGTTTATAGTCTTAATTCAATGCAATTGTTTCAAAATACAGTTTTGTACTATAAAGGAAAATCTCATATTTGCAATTGAAACTCACATTTTGAAACACTGCTGGCTTTGTTAAATAGTATGTCTACCTTCAGGTTTTCCCAAGTTTATTCAGTGTTAGCGTTAGAGCTCAGTGAGATTTCCCGGAAGCTCAGGTTTCATCTTTTACACTTAGGCAAAGAGAGTCTCTAGAAGCAAAGGAGCTTCCTGCTTCCACTTGGAGCACACTCAGTGCATCTCTACTGATTGCTGCGTGTCAGAAGCTGTTTGGCAGCTTGTGTTACCACCTAACATGCTGATTTAGTGGACACACAATGAAAGGTCAACTAGGCCGATGAAGAGTCATTTCAGAACCGCTTTGTCTTTTTCTTCCTTTTTGTGATGTATATGTGTGGTTGTGTGTGTGGTGGCCAGAGGGTAACATCAGTTATTTATCTAAATCACTTTCCTTATTTTGAGACAGGGCTTCTCACTGAAACCAGAGCTCACTGATGTAGCTATGGATTCTACAGTCTCTCTGTCCCCAGTACTAGGATTACAGTATGCATTGTTATGCCCTGCCCTAAAAAATAAAAACATTGGCGCACGTTTTTAATCCATTGGGAGGCAGAGGCAGGCAGATCTCCGTGAGTTCGAGGCCAGCCTGGTCTACAAGAGCTAACTCCAGGACAGGCTCCAAAGCTACAGAGAAACCCTGTCTCGAAAAACCAAAAAAAAAAAAAAAAAAAAAAAACCCAAAAAACATAAAACTTAAGCATTTAATTGATGTGGTACATATGTCAGAGGACAACTTGTAGGAGTCAGTTCTCTCCTTCTACCATGTTGGTCCTGGAGACTGACTCAGACTGAAGGAAGTGTCTTTATTCACTGAGTCATCTCAGCAGATCCATGCCTAGCTTTTTTTTCGGTAGTAGCTAGGAATCAAACTCAGACCTCCATGCATATGTGGCAAACACCTTACTGACTGAGTCATCTCCCTAACTGCTGTCACCTTTTACTGAAAAACATAAAACTAATAAGGTAACCACATTTAATAAGAGAACAATTTCAATTAGGTAAGAAGGAAATAACATAATGTGAAATTATGTTTTACAGTTAGGTACCAAAGCAGCCCATTTAAATTACAAATTGTTTCTATTTAGTTGCTGAAGTTTGAATTACTTTCTTAAAAGAACAGAAATTTAACAGTTAGGCTAGTAAAGCTAACCATGTTATAATTTGTTGAAATAGTTTTTAATAAATCATCCATAGTGCCATCATAGGCTGAAGGTTCTGGAGTCAGATTAGACTCACTAAATTTTATTTCTTATATAGACAACAAGAATAATGAACACATATTTGTGGTTAAGTAAAAGATTTTATATTTTTTGTCAAAGGGAACTTACCCTAAAGGAAATTTCTAGGTTTTCTCCTCCCCAAATATCCATTCCAGCATCATATGTTCCAATTTCCTGAAAGTAATCTCTGTCTATTGAAAAAAGGCCTCCGGCCATTGTAGGTGTTCTGAAATTCAATCATAATACTATGCCATTAATTTTAGTAATTTAAAGTTGATAATCAGTGTTTGTTTTTAGAAGTACTATAGTTCTACAGCTGTTTATAACTACAGAATAATGCTTACTCTTACCCTCTTCAGAATGCTTACACCCTCGGGGACTGCTGTGGCAGACACGATCTGCACCCTGCTCACGCTCTGTTTAATCCTAAATATTTCCTGTCCGTAGCACTCTTCCTGGTCCTTGGTGCCGACCGACTTTCTAGCTCAGACTCCTTAAATTGAATGTTTCTCATAACCTTCTCCATTTGACCAGGTATTTGATTCCAAAGTCCTAGCAACTATAAAGGTAGTTGATAATTTTATTCAACTAGACTCAGGTTAGGGTTAAAATGCCAAGTTTTAAAGGGTGGCAAATACTGCAGAAATGGCAGGTTGAAAGATTAAAGTTAAGACAGGATGAAAACAAAGACAGCCTTTCCTAGGTCTAGAGAAAGCATAAAGGAGGTGATGCAGTACAGAGAACACACTTCTTCTAAAGGGACCCTAACCGCCTGTGGTAGGTTTTCTGCAGAAGCCAAGTCCAGGCATGCACAGGGCGGGGTGGAAGAGAAGCATGTAAAAAAGCAGAGAAATGATCATGAGGGAGGATTGAAAGGGACAGGTAGCAGGGGTTCCAGTTAATCACTAATTTCCATGAAGGGTCAGTATGAAGGGGTAAAAAAACTCAATCCACCAAGAGAAAATAATTAAGTTCTTGGATCCAATATCCCATAAGGTTCCTAAGTTCAGAAGTCACTGACATGTGCTCTTCCAGGATTCCCTAGGACAGCAGCGTTGTCTGTCCAGTGAAAGCTGTAATTCCCAAAGTTCTCAAATATCTAAGAGCTCTTGATTTAACACTGAACTGAACCGAGAGCCTCTTGGAATGGGTACAGATCTCAAACTGGCTCTGGAAAAGAATGTATTAAGTGAAAAAAAAAAAAATCTCTTCAACTTCTCCAGAATTGGATTTGAATTCATGGGAAAATAGACCAGAGATGCTTAAAATAGGAGAAAATGGAGTTAAGAGCTACAGAAGTGGAGGCAGATGCAACTGCGATAAATACTAGGATGGTTAGGAGCTCAAAGTCTGTTCCATGCCCTTACCAGATGATTCTTATGCCTTCCTGTCACCCATGATCAAGTACAGTAAAAAGAAAAATACACATAAATGAAAATCCCTTTATACACTGCTAATTCTAGTTATTTTAAAAAATTGTGTGAAACAAGCTTTTCTAACCTTACTGTCAGTAACTACCACCCAGACATGGTACAATGAGAGCCGCAATTCTGAGATGGCACTTTAACATAATGCCATGGTAACTGAGGAGCAGCTTGACTTAAGCAGCCTGAACTTAGAAATTTGTAATGTTTTCATACAGGAAAGAAGGAACATAGGTATGACATCATTTTTCTTGTAGACTGGAGTTCACAGAATGAAAGAAAATCTAACTTTATTAACTGGAGGAGAAAAATCCCCTTTAAAAATAGATATATGTAAAACACAGTTCTTGACTACATACAAGGTATACGATTGCTAGGTGTTTCTCAAAGTACACTTTAACCCAACCGATGAAATGTCACAACTCTCTGCACACTACAAAGGAAACGTCTGACAAATCACCTGACAGGGAGAGTCCGGTCACCTTTCCTTCTGTCCATTTCTCTTTGGGGGACAGGATACCAACGAAAATTGAGCTTCCAGTTGAATCCACCATAGGTCATGTCAGAGCCTGCCATGTACTCAAAAGTATCATCGCTGATCACATCAATGATAGGACATACCACTGTTCTCCTGATGTCATAAAAGGAGATTTTAAATCTTTCAAATGTTCCTAACTATAACGACCATACAACAAAACAATTGCAAAATATTTTTCCTGCTACAACCTATACCAAACCAGTATCATATTCATTTGCTGGCTGAGAACGTTGTCCTTTTGCATTTCTTCTTTTACACAATTTTTTTTCCTATTTGCCACATGGAAAATATTATACTAATGACTATACATTTAATCACTTTTAGACAAAATTTTCCTTTATAAACAACTCTGTCACTTCTGTTCTTCAGTTTTTGCTAGTGAGAAATTGAGTATTTTTATGTATGTAATCTTCAGGGAAAATGTCTAGCACAGATGTTACTTAAGTCAGCATTCATTACTGTTTTCTAGTCCTGATATATACATATTCCTCACTGTAATGCTATCAACTTTGAAGCTGATTTCTTACACTTTAATTAATTAAATTATAATAAATAAATAAATAATAGCTCAGGACTTTTTGAATTTACACACACACACGTACACACACACACAAATTGTGCTTGCTCGATTGGGTTTTGGTTTTTGAGTCAAGGCCTCTCTCTGCAGTCCGGGCTGTCCAGGAACTCACTATGTAGACCAGGCTGGCCTCAAACTCAGAGAACCTCCTGCCTCTGCTTCCAAGTGCTAGGACCAAAAATGTGTATCGCCATGACCAACTGAAATTGAAATTGAAATTTTTTAGTTACTAGAAGGGAATTCTTTTCTTTTGGGTTTGTATTTCTTCATATAGACTGATCACATATTCAGGTATTTTCCAGTTGGCTTAAAGGAAAAACACCCCCCCCCCCCAAAAAACACCCAAACGACAACAGCTCTTTTGAAGGAAAGTGTCCCAAATATGGTCGTTCACAGATATAGTTTATAGGATGTGATATCATATCCATTCTATTGGTATTTAAAGAAGGCAGTGGTGATGCACGCCTTTAATCCCAGCACTCAGGAGGCAGAGGCAGGTGGATCTCTGTGAGTTTGAGACCAGCCTGGTCTACAGAGTGAGTGCCAGGACAGGCTCCAAAGCTACAGAGAAACCCTGTCTCAAAAAACCAAAAAAGAAAAAAGAAAAAAAAAAAAGAAGATGAAAAGAAGTCTTTCCCATGGATTGGTGAGATGAGATGGTTTAGAGGGTAAAGGACCTTGAACTTAATCACCTGAGTTCAGTTCCTCTGATCAACACCGTAGAAGAAACACCTTGTTTTTCTAGAGGTCAAAGTTGTCCCTTGACCTCTACGTGAGTACGTGGCTTTTTTTTTCTCTGTCTCCTCCGCTCCCCACCCTGGGGCCAGCAAGTTGGCTCAGTATCTAAAGGTGACTACTTCCTAGCCTAACAACCAGGACTCGTGTGGAGACAGAGAAAAATCAACCCCTGCAAGTTGTCCTTTGACCTTAAACACACACGCGCAAGACACACACACTTTTTAAAAATTTAAATCATAGGTCTTTACTAGTTTTTTTTTAATTAAAATTACTCTAGCTTCATAAAAATAAACAGTTAATTTGTTACTTTTTCTATGTTCCCCTCAAACATTTTGGTGGGAGCACGTCCCCTCTTACACACAGGACTCTGCTGTGTGTGATCCACTTCTCATTCTCACTGAGCGGAAGTTTCAGCGTCCCAGCTTTGCTCCTGTCACTCTCAACTCGTACATTTATCAAGGGACAGTATCCCAGAATTCAGCACAGACACCACAAATACCAGCTGGCCTCACTGAGTGGACAGCTTTTTTGCTCTCACTTTGTGATTGTCTGTCTTTCTTTCTTTCTTTCTTTCTTCTTTTGTGTCAACTCAATAGTGAATTTTTTTAAAATCTGTTTTTGAAGCCAGGCAGTGGTGGCACACACCTTTAATCCCAGCACTCCAGAGGCAGGTAGATCTCTGTGAGTTTGAGGCCAGCCTGGTCTACAGGAGCTAGTACCAGCACAGGCTCCAAAGCTACAGAGAAACCCTGTCTCAAAAAAACGAAAAGTGAAAAATAAAATAAAATTAATTCATTTAAAAATCTGCATTTGCCAAGTGATGGTGGCGTACGCCTTTAATCCCAGCACTTGGGAGGCAGAGGCAGGCTGATCTCTGTGAGTTCGAGACCAGCCTGATCTACAGATCTAGTTCCAGGACAGGCTCCAAAGCCACAGAGAAACCCTCTCTCGAAAAACAAAAAAAACAAACAAAAAAAATCTGCTTTTGTATTTATTCATCACTTTAACATTATCTATTGGACATTATTCAGGAGATATATATAATCCACCATATAGCCCAAACTAAGGTATTTTGGTTGTTGTTTTAGTCAATTCTCTCCTATACTTCTCTCTCTCTCTCTCTCTCTCTCTCTCTCTCTCTCTCTCTCACACACACACACACACACACAATCTTCTCTGTATGGGTTCAGAATCGTGTTTCTAAAGTTTATGGGTTTTTCTTTATGCAATCAAGTATCTCCTAAACCAGTCACCTTTTACTTATAGAAAAATATTTAGAGAGATATTCTATTGTTTTGATTCTTCAGGGCAATAATCTCTTCCTTAAACTGTTGGGTGTCCTTTGGTTCAATGCTGGTTTGTTTTGTCTCTGAGAACAGATAGCTGTAGTGACACCATTTTCTAACAGAGAATAAGTGACCTTAACCCTTCCATTCTCCACTGGACTAGTGAAAGTCTACTGTATACAATCTAAGCCTTCAAGTTGATGTGGAGAGTTTTAAGATCAAATTGCCAGGGCAAGCAGAAATTCAACTAGAAAGGTCAAACAGACTGAAGTTACATCTGTCCTGACTCTTTAGAACCAAGAGAAAGTCAGACAATTCTTTGTAAAGTTTATGACATGAAAGACAAAACCATAGACACCCCGTAGTAATGCTTATTCTGTATCAAGAGGATACAAGGTGCCTCTCTTCAGCCTTACGCTACAAAATGAGAGCTATAGTCCCTATGAAGGAATCAACAAAGATGAGATAATCTGCCTGTCCTGTGGCAGTCTTTGAAAGCAGGGACAAGTAAACTTCCCATGAGTTCATTACTGTCTGCCTATTCTGGTCCTATTTTGTCAACCTAGAACACAGAGTAATTAACAATTCTACAATATGTTGTCTCATTCATCTCCATTAGGACAGTTTGCAAACTAGTTAACTGCCAGAGTTTAAGACTGTGGTCTTGTTTGTATTTTGTTTGGAGCACTCTTGAAGCCATTTTAAAGGCTACTTGAGGGAATGGTACTTTTGTATTTACTTAAAACAGAATCTACAATGTTCCACACAATTTAAGATAAAAATAACTAAGAACAAATTCACAAATTCCAAAAAATTACCTGTCATGTTTGATCCTGGCTAAGAGAGGCTCCAGCCACCCTGCCGTACACTCACAGTGTGCATCTAAGAAGGTGATCACTTGGCCTTTGGACACAGCAGCTCCTTTTAATCTAGCTCTGATCAATCCAGAACGTTGTTCCATTCGAATTACATGAACTGGCACCTTGAGTTTTTTCACATAACTCTCTAGAGGTCTTTTCAAAAAGTCTGAAAATATAACAAAAGAATGAAATAAAAAAAGGCATGAATTGGCATTACCCAAATTTAAAGCAATTTTGATTTTGTGGCATTCCTTCAATATATACATACTGACAGAGTCCTCCTAGTGGGGTTCCTTGCCCCATCAATGCCATTCCCTGAAGGAAGCCTTCTATTTTCATGTTGGTATGACTAGCTGCCTGTATCTTGCCATAAGAACACAAAGACAAACCTATGGCTTAAGTATCGCCTAGGGCAGGCATGTCACCACGCATTTTTATCAGGCTTCCAATTCTCTTCCTAATCATGCTGAAGAATCTGTAACAGAAGCAAAGTAGCCCAGCCAAGTGTGATAGCGCTCACTTGTAATCCTAACCCTGGAAGGCAGAAGCAGGAGGATTTTGAGTTTGAGGTCAGTGTTGGCTACACAGGGAGTTTTGAGATCCTGTCTCAAAAAACAAAACACTAACACACCCAACATACACAAAACAGAAAAAGCATTTTAAGAATATTAAATTTGGGCCAGGGAGTTGTTGCACATGCCTTTAATCCTGGCACTAGTGAGACAGAGGTAGGCAGATCTGAGTTCAAAAGACCATCCTGGTCTACAGATAGTTCAAGGACTGCCAAGGTGACACAGAGAAACCCTGTCTCCAAAAATAAAACAAAACAAACAAAAGAATATTAAATCTAGATCACAACAGAGAGAAGAAACAGTTTGTAACCGCTATTATAGTTTTATAAACTGTGAGATTTCTTCCAAGGCAGAAACAAAGTATCTTATTGATCACACAGTCTCTGACTACACACTCAGCAGGAATAAGAAAGTGAAAAACTCCTAAGAGATAGGAACTGAGAGATCCATGTCAGACAAGTGACAGTGATGGGACCGTGTCTTTCTAACCAGTAGCAGTGAAAGATGTGTATAATCTATCTAGGGAAGGGAATATTGATTTACAGAATCTTAGAATTTCTAAGACTTCAGCAATTGATGATGAAAGATTAAGAGGCTACTTAAATACTGAAAACAAGGCTCCAAGAGCTTCCTGTAAGCTGGGGTGAGAGGACAAATGGAAAGAAAGTGGGAGGACAAATGGGAAGAAAGTGATTCTATTTGGCAGAATCAGATTGAAGCATAAGTAATGTCATCAAAAACCCAAACCCTTCAAAAAGACAGGGCTATATCTGATTCCTAATCTCTTTTTCTGTTAACTCATTTCCTAATATTTGTGCTAGAAATAGTATTTCAAAATAATACTATGATTTTATGAACTAAATCAAAAGGTGAGAAGAATATAACCAGATTCTAAGGAAAAAGGTTTGGACAATGCAATCTGAGAAAAACATTTTTATACTAGCAGTGAGTGGGTTTGTGAAAACTCTGCAACTTAAATGTGTTTATCTTCACAGTGGCCCACAAGGTTGTGCTATCACGCAGACTTTAGCAATGAATATCTACACTCTCAGAATATTACATGAATTTGATCAATGTGACAGTTTGTTATAGCCCAGGCTTGCCTAACATCAAATCCATCATTTTACGCTGGACAGAGCACTATATGAATACTGACTGGCTAAGCACATTGGGGATACCTGTAATCCCAGTACTAGGGGGATGGAACAGAGGAATGAGGGTTTCAAGTTTGAGGTCAGACTGGCCTAGGCTTTGTAGCAAGATCCTGTCTCAAAAACACCAATCCAACAAGCAAACAGAATCCAACAGAAGGGCCTCTAGAGAGAATATAGGAGTGTGGAGCACTTAATCTATACAAATATGGATCAGCATTAGTCTATGTGTCTAGAGCTGAACAGAATCATCTGTGGTGGGGTACAAGATATGCTCTATTAGCTTAAACTAATCAAAGTTTAATTTGGCTGTTCTGGAACTTGCTTTGTAGACTAGGGAGGCCTTGAACACACAGAGGTCTACATGCCTCTGCCTCCTGAGAGTTGAGATTAATTAATACACCCTTTCATTGGTAACAAAAAAAATTTAATATGTGATTCTGTAGCACTGTAACAAATTTCCTTGGCACTTCTGACATCTTTGTAACTTTCATACAATGGACACTAGGAAATTTGTGTTTTCAGTTCATATAGTTTTAAGCAGCAAGTCCTGAGGAGGTAGTGGTGACTAGAAGCCTTCCTCCTTAAATACCCTGCTGACTGCCGTCCTATAAATATCCACAACCATCACTCCACCACACAGCATGAAGTTGTCAGAGATTTGCCACTTGCTGGTACTGCTGAAATTTTTCTTGTGCATTTGTAGATTCGCTTTAATTGTTTATAATTTCTGACTTCAAAGGTATTTGAGGAAAGATAGATTTAGTTTATATTTTGTGTCCCCAGTAGCAATATTCTAAGCACTCACAAAATTTATTATGGTGCTATAGCTCTTACTATTTAGTGAGTGCTCTAAGATTCAACAGAAATACACACATTTCCATCCCGTACAATGAGGGAAAAACTAAGTTACAATAAGACTGGTGAGGGAGCTCAGTTGGCTAAAGTGTACTTGTCTGACAACCTGAGTTTGAGTCCTGGGACCCATGCTGTGGGATTATGTTCTTGTACACTGTAAAGATTTGTCACTCATATTAGCTTAATAAAATGTTGACGTCGGTCATCAGCCAGGCAGGAAGTACAGGTGGGGTGACCCAACCATACTAGAATTCTGAAAAGAGGAAAAGCAGGGATGCAGTCACAAGGCAGATGCAGAGAAAGCAAGATGAGACTGCCTTACTGAGAAAAGATGCTACAAGGCTAAACATAGATAAGAATTATAGGTGAATTTAAGTTGTAAGAGCTAGTTAGTAATAAGCTTGAGCAATATACCAAATAGTTTATAATTAATATAAGCCTCTGTGTGTTTCTTTGGAACTGACCGCTGCAAGACAGATGGGACAGAGACTTCTGTCTACAGACCCATGTGACAGAAGGAAAGAACAGACTCCAAAAAGTTGTTCTCTGACATCTACCTGTATACCTTGGTGTGTAGGGCAATGTCTCTCTGTCTCTCTTTCACACACAGCAATACTTACACACAATAAATAAAAAAAAAAAGCCACTATTGAGTCATTGTTCAATTTACTGGATGTAAATTCCTTGCCTCTTACTAATGTGATTGCACACAGGCTACTGGGGGGGGATAAAATTATTTTGCCTGAGGAGGAAAAAACTCCTTATAAATAAATAACATGCATGAGTCACTGTTTCAGCCCATGATAGAGAGCATATATGGCAGTAAACCATAAGTGACATCACAGTCATTTTGTGTTAAATATACTGTGATTTCTACAATGACAAAAATTATCTGATGATGCATTTCTCAGAACTAAAATATCATTAAGCAGGGCTTATTATTTTTAATAGTTCTAAAATTAATTTTCTAAAAGAATTGGCTTCTGGCTGGTCCGAAGGTAGTGAGTTATCTCAATTGATTGTTCATGGTCAGTTACAGATTGAACTCCTGTTCTACACTTTCCCCCTTCTCACTACTGCACTTGACTAGTCTTTAAAAAAAAAAAAAAAAGAAAAAAAAAAGAATTAGCTTCTAACTGAAAATTACCAACATATGATTTATCTCTATTGTCAGCCCTTACTCTTTTTCTCTAAGATGTTTCTGAAACCCTTTATTTTATCATTTTCTTTCGTATTGTTATGTGTATATGTTATGTGGATGTGAGTGCATGCGTACAGACACCACAGTAGCCATGTGAGGTCAAGGTACAACTTCTGAGAGTCAGTCCTCTTCTATTGTTGGTTCCTGGGACTGAACTCAAGCACCTGTACCTCCTTCCTGAGCCATCTGACCTGGCCTGTCAACAGCTATTCTTTAAGTGTGGTCTACTTAGTTAATAATAGCTCTTCTTCACTTTAATGTTAATTATATTATATATTACATATATAAATGTCTTCTGGGATACAAATTATTATACAGTAACATTTGACTGTAATCATCTCAGCAGATGCAATGAAAGAACAGGTAAAAAAGCTGGTTGCATTCAAAGAGGTGAAAATGATGGGCTATGAGGCTTAAAGTTCATTAAGAAAGGTATGGAGGCTCAAGAGATGGTTCAGGGCTTGCGAGCACTCGCTGTTCCTCCACAGGATCCAAGTTTAGTTTCTAAACCCCACACTGGGAGACTCGGAAGCACCTGTAACTCCAGCTCCAGAGGATCTTCATGCTCTCTTCAGACCGGCATGGACACCTATACCCATGTGCACAAGTCCACATACAGATACAAGAAAGGAATGAAGAAAAGTAAAAACCTATTTCCTGGAGCTCTCTCCAAATCTCTCCCATGTAAACAGGAATTCTGGCGGCACATGATACTAGTTAGTGCTGCGGCACAGATGGACTGTGCTGAAAAACAAAGCACTGGGAAACACTGGATTTCTGACTTCACTTAGTGCCGCCTTTTCTATAGCATTCTGCAGTATGAAATCTCCAAGAAGGGCTCAGAATAAACAGGGTACCTTTTCTTGCGTGCTTCATGAGACAGATGAGGATATTCTCTATCTGTGGAAAAACCCTGACATTCTCAGAAGGGTATCTGAGCAAGAGACGTGACAGATTTGTGAGAAAAGAGTCAGACTACACACCACACTTTAATTGTGCTTAATCACGTTCTGCACCTAATTACAGATCATTCCTAAAACTTAGAAAGTAAGGAAACAGGAAGAATTCAGAGAATTCCAGTCTGGACCGCATTTTCTTCAAAGGTTCTTCTTGCCACTCAGAACTAAATTTCTCCATTTGCGATCTGCAGCTTTCCACAGAGGAAAATTCTAATAAGGTGTGGGCTTCTTCCTATTCTACATCACCTTTACATCTTAAAGCATCATTTCTTTTCTAATAAGATTAAGATGCAGCACAATTAAACACTAAAGTAATACTCTTTAAGTTTTACAATGGAATACCTTTCACTATATGAATGAGTTTAAATGCTAAGGATTTTTAGATAAATTGGAAGTTTACATATAACTATTAATTTAAAATGAAAGCAAAGGTTTGCAGACTGTTAGTGATCAAAGGTCCAATGTCACTGGATTAAAATGTAAACTTTACCTCTTTCACTGGCATCGTCTACAAGAACAATCTCTTCTATCATGTGTCTTGGTGAGCGATTAATGACACTATGGACTGTTCGAAGAAGTGTGCTCCATGCCTCATTGTGGAAAACAATCACCACGCTTGTTGTAGGAAGGTTATCTGGATACACCTTTGTTTTACACCTAGAGACAAAGCAAAGGCCTTTATAAAAGTGACTTGAAGACACTACAGTAAACGAATCTATACTACATAAGCTGACAGAACAATAAAAAGTTTGTGCTAATGGTGAGACTCTTAGTTGGTTTCCATTTAAGTTTTGACTAATGTCGCATGTATAATAATACTGATATAAAGTAAGAGAGCTAAAAAAATTATTTTAAAGATATTGCCTATGTTCTTAAAATAAGCTCTCCCAATTAGATTTGGGGGGTTGATTTACTTTATTTATTATTATTATTATTATTATTATTGTTGTTGTTGTTGTTATGAGACTGGCACTCACGATGTAGCTATGACCTGCCTGGAATTCACAGAGATCTGCCTGCCTCTGCTTCCCAAGTACTGGGATTTAAAAGCATGCACCACACCTAGCTGAGTTAATTACTTTTAATGGAGAACGAACTAAGGCTATATTATTAATCTCAAACCGTACTTCAAGAACCAACTGGCTTTAGTTTTATTTTATGTGTATGGGTGTTTTGCCTGTGTGCATATCTGTGCGCCACGTGTACACCTAGTACCCACAGAGGCCACAGGATCACCTGAAACGCACGTTGCCAATGGTTTGTGAGCAGTCATGTGAGTGCTAGGAATGAAAGCCAGGTCCTCTGGAAAAGCAGCCAGAGCTCCCAACTGCTGAGCCAGCTTTCAAGTTTATTTTATTGCTGCATATCCTATGGACATACATTTCTAGTCAACAGCAATCGACATCAGTACTTCTGAGTCTGCACTATTAGTTGCAGTAGTGGGAAGCACAGAGAGGAAAGCAGTGGTGACTCTACCCATGTTCTGGGGACCAGAGGGCCTCTGGTCAAAGAAAGGTTTTCTCTTGTCTACTCACTGTGGCACTACTGTGTTGCTTACACAAAACTGCTTGAAAGCTGTGGTAGTAAAGAAGAGGAACAGTGAAAATAAGAGAACAATCGCTCCCCTCCAGTCCTGTGTTGTCCCTTAGACAAGCAAGAGATAAAGTTTCTTCAGGTTCTTTTCTGTTCAATGCTGAAACAATGTTAGAGTGGAATGTCAGCCTAACTCTCAGGGCACTGGTCTGCAAAGGTCCTGCTAATTAATTTCGAATTAGGTCCTGAAATTAGAGGAGTTTTACAGATGAGGAAACTACGCTTAGAGAAATGAAGACGCTTGGTCAAACTAACAGCTAGTAAATGGTACAACCACACACACATCAAATCAGACATTTATGACAAATCTCGCCCCTCATTATCCACATATGCCAAACAGTGTAGTAGTGTATGAAAGAAGCCAGAAAAGAGGATTTCTGAGGTCAAGGTAAAAATATGTATCACATATACTCCAACACTCTTCTCCATGTCTCTCTAAATGCAATGTACTTTTCATGCATTGTTTATAACCTAAATTTGGTCAATTACTAGCTTTTACCACTAACAAAGAACTCACCATAAGAAGCCTGGCTATGTAGCAAGCAGTGCTTGGTACTGTTACAAGACTCTTCTGTATGTACTCAGAGTAGGATCAACTGAGATTAACCTTACAAGCAGCAGCAGCACAGCCATGGAGACCAGGAATTCCTAAGTACACCTGAGACAGGTCATTTAGTCAAGGCCTGATTTGACAACTATTTAAGTATGATGTTTACACAAATTGCTACACCATTAGCACTCAACAAAGGGTACCATTATTACTTCTTAAACATTAAGAGTGAACTACATAGGATGGATTTGGCCTCTAACTAACCTGGGATTTGTTTTAGGGCTCCTTTCCTAATTAATATCACATATTATAAAAATTATTCACTGATTCTACTTCTACTTAACTATTTTTAACACTGGGCCAATGCCATCCTTTCTTCCAGTCTTTCCGGAAAAATGATCCTGGCACCTCATAAAACAGTGAAACTGGCAAGCAGATACAGGATGATCCAAACCAGTTAAGTTATACTCTAGAAGCAAGGGGTTTGGATTTAAAAGTGTGGTGAGCAAGTCACATGCTAGGGACACTATCTTTCCATTTAGGGAGCTGCTCTGGACAGCAGATCCTGCTCAGCTCTAGTGTGAGGATGAACCAATGACAGTCTGTATTTGTGACTTGACATTTCACTGTAAATCCTCTTTGGAAGTCTCAAGAATCACCAGTGGACACAGAGCTCACTTTTGGATCTGAAGGGCCCTCTGGATCCTAAGTGCTGGGAAATATCACAGCAGTGGATAAATCCTCACAATCACCCTTGTTTACCTCCTTGTTTTACAGATAAGGATTCTGGGATACAGAGACTCTGGGAATCACAAGGTAGTAAACGGCAGAGCCAGACTGGGACTATGTCACTATCAAGGTTATAAACAAGTTGGTCCAGTAGACCAAACTGCAGTTAATGGTGAAGCAGCTCTGAGAAATAAAGTAAAATATGAACGCTCAGATCAAAACCATAGTACATGTATGAACAAACATGCAAATCAGTAAAAGTAAACCCACACCTTGACCATTAAAGCTTACTCAGAGGCTACACTAAATACATAAAGACAAAATGTACAGCTCCAACACAATAGCTGGAAACTGAAATTTGTATCAGCTCAAACTGTGTCCATTAGCAAAACAGGAAAGGAAGAAACAAAATGAAAAAAAATTAAACAAAAAGCTGGAGTAAGGAAAATTTAATGAAAAGTTAGCTCAATCCAACTTTGCCTTAGTTGTACATCTGTGCTTGGGTTGTTCTATGTGGTTCATAAAAGCCCAGCCAGGTTGGGGAGTCTCGTTTTAAATGACCTACAATCCTCATGTGGGCTCTCCCCACACTCCAGCAACATTACACCTTCCCAGACCACTCCTTCAAACTCTCCCACATCTCAGATTTAAAATACGCTTGCCCTCCTCACTCACACCTTTGTTTCCAATTTCACAGAAGAAATAAGAGCTACCCAAAGTGATTCCATAACGGTACCAATATACACACATAATTCTGTAAGTATCAGGGCTACAAAATCATGCTTTTCCCTCTAGAGGGCTTGCATGATCTTGTCTATCAACTTTCTCACCTACAGCTGCCCAAAGCCTTTGCTTTTAACACCCTTTCAAAAGTTCCCCTCTTAACTGGGTCATTTCCATTAACACACAAATACTACTTTATACTATCCTCTCTTTCTGTCTCCTCTCACCTCATTACAACAACGTATTGTAGATTACTGCTGTAAAGTGTTGCACATCCCACTCATTCCCAAATTGATTGTATTATAAAATATAGCAAACACAAAGCACACAAAACAAATTTGTTGGGCTCAATTCCCAGAACAACAACAACAAAAGAAACAAAATACACCCAAAAAATGTGAGCTGAATGACTTAGTAGAGAGCAAACTGTATAACTATCACTAAATGAGAACGAAATATTGCCGTATCCTTACTGTTGCTATTATCATCTCATTTGTCCCTAAAGCAAAAACTAGTGTCATTCTGAAGGACTTTTGCTTGGTCTGTTTTGATTTTCACACAAATATATATATTCCATTTACTATGTTGACAAGATTCATCCTTAGAATGACATGCAGTTTTTGTTCATTTCTACTACTACAAAGTCTTCTATTTTATTTATTATTGTTGTTGTTTGAGACAAGGTCTCACCCGACTGACCTGGAACTCACTATGTAGATGACACTGGCCTTAACAGAAATTCTCTGCCTCTGCTTTCCAAGTGCTGTGGTTAAAAGAAAGCACCACCAGGGTGCTTTACTACTTTACTAATACAAGGTCAGACATTTTAACTTTTGTTTTTTTTTAATATTTATTTATTTATTATGTATACAACATTCTGTCTATGTGTATGCTTGAAAGCCAGAAGAGGGCACCAGACCCTATTACAGATGGTTGTGAGCCACCATGTGGTTGCTGGGAATTGAACTCAGGACCTTTGGAAGAGCAGGCAATGCTCTTAACCTCTGAGCCATCTCTCCAGCCCACATTTTAACTTTTGGAACCAATACAGACTTACTGCTATAAACATTTTGTCTTTGCTTCCTGCTGCATGCATATATACATTTCTAACATACTTGGGCACGAAACTGCTGGGTCATGAAGGGTGTAAAGGCTGATTTTTAGCATGTACCTGTTATGGACTATTCCTTTACACTGTGTGAAGATGTGTCATTGTGACTGGTTTCATTAAAAAGCTAAACAGCCAATAGCTAGGCAGGAGGTAGGTATAGGAGGGACTTCTGGACAAAGAGAGCTCTGGGAAGAAGAAAGGCAGAGTGGCCAACCAGGATGAGCATAATGGAGATGAGACAACGAGCATGCAGAAGAACATAGATTAAAAAGGTATGGGTTAGGGCTGGAGAGATGGCTCAGTGGTTAAGAGCATTGCCTGCTCTTCCAAAGGTCCTGAGTTCAATTCCCAGCAACCACATGGTGGCTCACAACCATCTGTAATGAGGTCTGGTGCCCTCTTCTGGCCATACACACAGACAGAATATTGTATACATAATATATATATGGTATGGGTTAAGTTATAAGAGCTACTTAGAAACAAGCCTAAGCTAAAGTTCAAAAAGAAAAGTCTGTCTACAAATGGACCAACACGGGGGCTCAAATCTATAAACACAGGGCCCGAGGAAGAAAAAAAAAAGTTCTGGATAAGGAGTTGGATGTAGCTTCCTAGTCCTGAAATCTCAGGCAGGTCAGTGCTCTGTGGCATACGGAGGCATGGTGACCAACTGCTGCTTGTGGGCTAGAGTCTTCCACCAGTGGCAGTTGATATAACAGTTTAAGATTTGTCTCCTTCAATCAGAGAAGGCTAGAGATGGTCAGTAAAGACAGATTCAGATGAAAAAATACCTCTAAACAGGTTATAGTTGCTTCAAATATATGTGTAGGCTTAAGAGAAGAAAATGGGTATAGATAGTCATAAAAAAAGAGTTTATAAATAATAAAGTCTTTAAGGGAGAATAAAATAATGTAAGGGTAAGTCACATGAAGATGGAAAACATGCAGATATCCTGCATGGTACTGTGTTAATTTTGAATTTTTTGGAGGCTAATGAACAGAGAACAACAGCTGCTAAGAGACACTGGATTATGGAAGGGACTGCTGAATAAAACCAGTCGTTTATTTCATTTAGGATAGTCTTTTTTTTAAATTTTTTTAAAAAAAAATATATTTATTTATTATGTATACAATATTCTGTCTGTGTGTATGCCTGCAGGCCGGAAGAGGGCACCAGACCCCATTACAGATGGCTGTGAGCCACCATGTGGTTGCTGGGAATTGAACTCAGGACCTTTGGAAGGGCAGGCAATGCTCCTAACCTCTGAGCCATCTCTCCAGCCCTTCATTTAGGATAGTCTTAACTTTAAAATGGAAATCAGAAAATATACTGCTTTGGGGAAGAGGTTATGCTTTTGTTTCCAAAAAAAATGAAAAGCTGTGGATTCCTTCAAAGTTGATAGAGATCAGATTTGATTGGGGGGAAACCCCTCAAAATCCAGGCTACAGACATAAAGGAATAAACCTAAAAAAAACTACAGACAACTGATATATGTTTTACCTGCTCAAACATAAACAAAAAAATCATCTTTAGCTGACTTGTGCACACATTCCATACTTGTGTTAATACAGATTATATGTATGTTACTTTTGACAGTTTATTATTTGTTTTCAGAGCAAGGAGACCAGACTCCAATGAAAATGTGTGGCCCAGGTGATCTAGTCTCTCAGAGTACATCAATTGTAGTTTCCTGAGAGTTCTACATTCAGAACAGCTTTAAGGCTGGGGACTGAGATGGTCCAGCTTTACAGACTATTCTAGTCAGTACTACAGAAAAGTCTTATATTTTCCCACTGCACAGAAACTGGCCAACAAATGTCATGGATAGTTTTCCCAGGACTTGACCATTATCTCAATTTTCCTAAGGTCCCCTAAAAATGCTGTTGCCCACAGACAACAGGAATCAGTCTAGAGAATAGGAGGCTCACATCCCCAAGAGGTGGAGTAGATAGGTTTCCGTTGTTTGGTGGGTTATGAATATTTTTCATCATTTGGCAGGTTGGTTGCAAGTTGTTATTGGTAATGGTCAGGAAAAAAACTAAACAAGGAAGATTAGAGTCAGGGATCTCATTCTGAAAAGAAAAAGGGGGGATATAAAAATGATCAGATAAAAGAGAAGCTATTGAAGCTCTCATTTTTCTTTTTCATTCTCTTTTATTTTCTCTTACACAGGGTTCCCTGTGTAGCCTTTGTTGTCCTGGAACTCACAGAGATCCACTTGCCTCTGCCTCCTGAGTTTACTGTGCACCTCCTGGGATTAAATGTACACCACCACTGCCCACCTCAAATCTCTCATTTTTCTACTGGGTTATTTTTCTTATCGATATACAGAAACTACATTCCTGGATTTGAGCACTTTACTAGTTATGAATGTCACAAACAATCTTTTTAGCAATTGCTTCTTTTTCTTCCACTCTCTTATTTAATGAATATAGTCTTTAAGAAAGTTGATTGTAGAGCACTTGACCTAGCATGAACAAGTCCTTGGGTTTGATCCCTATTTAATATATCAACTCCCCTTTCCTTTTTGGCATGCATCTTATGATCTGTTTAAGAAATCTTTCCCAATTTTAAAGATATAGTCTATCTTTAAAGATATATTTATGGCTCTGCCTTCTTATTTATATTTGTAATACACAGAATACAGATTGCTTTCTATACTGGAAATAAAGGTTTCTCTTTTGTCCTTAATTATACGAGATTCATGTAATGGCATTTGCTGCTTAAAGGATCATCCTTTCAGGGCTACTCAGTGACCTCTTAGTCATCAGTTAAGTGTTCATGTAAGATAAATTCCCTGTTTTGTTCTACTGATCTGTCTTATTTTTTATAAGAACATAACAATATCTTGATTACTATAGTTTTTAAAGAAATTTTAATAAGTCAACAATATCTAGTTCTTCCAGCTCTTTGTATTTTCAGTGACAAAATCAATCAATCAAATTATAAACACACACACGCACAAGATTATGGTTATGACTAGAACTACACTAAATTATCAAACGAGAAAATCAAAATCTTTAAAATACTGATTATGAACAGAGTATTTTTTCATTTATTTAGGCATTTAATTTCTCTCAATAGTACACTTGGTATGTTCTAGTAATTCTAAAAAGATACTCTAAAAATATCTTCTAGCTTGAAAAGAACTAACACATGATAAAAACCTTTTTCCTTAGAAATATTGTGCTAGGCATGGTTTAGTCCCAGCACTTGGAAGGCAGAGGCAGGCGGATCTATGTGAGTTTGAGGCCAGCCTGGTCTACAGAGTGAGTTCCAAGACAGCCAGGGCTATACAGAGAAACTCTGTCTCAAAAAACAAAACAAAAGAAATACTGACCTACAAACCATCAACCTTACTAAACACTTATGGATTATAATGTTCTATCTATAATCCATTGGGGGTAGGAGGTGAAAATAAGGTTGTGATAGGGCTTATATATCCCAAGGCTTTCCTCAAACTCACAATCCTCCTGCCTCAGCCTCCAAGTTTTTACCACACCTAGCTTAAATAAAATCTTTTAGTATCTTTCAAATTCTTATTGTCTCGCCTGGCCAAGACATCCAGTATAACAAGGAGCAGAAGTAATAATGATGAGCACTATGCATGCTTCTGACCTTTCAGAATCTCTATTCAACACGGGTACTTGCGTTAAGGGACTTTCGTGCTGTGCTGTTTAGCTACCCTACAGATCAGATTAAGAAAATTTCTTTTAAAGTTCCTAAGGCATATCTTGACAGCAACAAATTTTATCAAATATTTTCTTTGTATTTCATGAAATAACCATATCAACATATCCTTTTTCTGTTACTATAGCAAATTTCAGCAACTTTAGCTTCCTGTGTGGAATATACCAACTTGGTATAAAACTGAACATATACAATCTACATATTGCTAGATTCACTTCACTTTTCATTTGTAAGTCCGTATCTATGCTGTCAGTGAGATTATGCTAACTCCTTGTTTATTACACCTTTATCTAATTTCCACCACTGATTTCATGATGCACACTGGTATGGTCCTTCTTTTTCTAATAAGGACTGGCTTTGCTTTCCTTAGATGTATATGCAGTGACAAGGCTGTGTGTGAATGGAAGTTTGTTATTATTTATGTATGTCTGTGTAAAAGGCCTTAAATAGTTTATTGATTTAATAATTATACTTTACAGTTTCTGCTTTTCTCTGGTATCAGTTATATTTTTGTAGGAACTAACAATGTGATTAAAATTTTTTTGTGTTTTATTTTGTTTTGGGATCTTTGTACATATCCCCAGAATTCACTATGTAGACCAGACTGGCCTTGCACCCAAAGATATGCCTGCCTCTACCTACAAAGTGCTGGGATTAAAGGCATTAAAGGTCTTAATCTAAATTTTTAAATATACTTATAATACCTACTTATAAGATGTACATGACATCTACGTTCTTAAAGATTTTTATTTTGAGTTTTGTTTTTGTTTTTTTTTTTTGGTTTTTTGAGACAGGGTTTCTCTGTAGCTTTTGGTTCCTGTCCTGGAACTAGCTCTTGTAGTCCAGGCTGGCCTCGAACTCACAGAGATCGGCCTGCCTCTGCCTCCCGAGTGCTGGGATTAAAGGCGTGCGCCACCACCGCCCGGCGAGATTTATTTTTGTAATTTTGAAGTGTGTGTGTGTGTGCGCGCACGCGCAGGTGCTCTCAAAGGCCAGAAGAAGGAATGAGATGCCCTGAAGTTGAAATTATAAGTGGTTGTGGATGTTAAGTATTAGATCCCTGGTTGCTGGATTCCTCCACTACTGATACAATAAGCCAAATCAGACCAAATTAATAAATCAAGATTTAACAAACAAGGTAATGTAAAGCAGAACACTTCCAGGTGGCCCTCAGGAAGGCAATGAAAAGAACAGGAAGGAAGACACACACAGCAGATCTATGGGCCAGGTCTTAAATAGCCAGTTGGCATGGTCTTGAGAAGCCCTGGGGAGGGGCTAACTCTTGGTGGGCTTTCTGAGGGGAGAGGCTGCTATTTGGCCAGCTTTCTTAGTGGGTAGGGTCTCGGGGGAGAGAGAGAGGAAGGCAGGGCTTCCACCTAATCATCCCAAACTCTTTGGATATATGGGAGCCAGGATCTTAGGTGACATTTCCACCAGAACAGTGAGCTGCTCACTGTAGGTGCATGGAGTCAAATTTGGGTCCTCTGAAGAGCAGTACACTCTCTTAACTCGTGAGCCACATCTCTCCAGCTCCTTTTTAAAGAATTTTTATGCATGCAATTTGGTACTGCTGTCTACAGGCACATTGTTGTGCAGCAGAGGTCTAGAATTTCTTCTCTTCCAAAATGGAGAAGATATATCTTCTATGGTTACAAGGGGTAAAACAATAGTTGTCTCTGGAGGTGGAAGTAATTGGAAAGGAAAATAAAGAGAATTTTCAGGGGTTATATCTTGTTTGGATGATGTTACACAGCTTCGTACTTACACATAAAAATTCAGTAAGCTATACGTGTAGGACTTAGGAACTTCCCTGCTTCAAGTTTCATGCACCTAAAATCTTTTTGTAAAAGGTTGAACATATGACTATTTTTATGAATGCTTAGACTCCCCTACTAATCTGTTGAGAGAAGTAATCATTTTCCTAGTTCCTGAGTCAGTAGAACAGTAACATACTGAAATGTTACTTTATTAGCACTGAACTTAGAGTTCAAGTATAATTAAACAGTAACTGACAGAAAAGTAAGCGCTAAGCATATCTTGGGAATGTAGACAAGCCTTGCATTGAAATATGATTAGGACCACACTAAGTACTTACCCCTCTAACCTCACATCTGGTAAAGATCTGTTGAGTGCAATCATCTCACTTGCCATTAAATTAAACTGATTGATTTTAAACATCTCTTTCATCTTTTCTTGATCCTCTTTAGGAATGACGACTGGTTTCCCCATTTCTCCAGGACCTTCATGAGGCTTCTGCACTGGCTCTAGAACTAAGAAGAAATATGCTTAACTGATACCAATTTCATAACAATTACCTCATGCTTTTGTTAACAACATCCAAGTTAAAAACTGTGCTCAACAAGCAGAGCCTCTTCTGGAGTCTCCAGTCTGTTCACGCCTCCAAGGTGCTGTGCAGTTTTCCCACTTTGAGGAAATGACACAGACCACTCAGCTTTAGAATGCTAAATAGTTTTGCAGAGGGTCAACTCAAAATTTTCTTTCTTTGAAACCATCATGAAACCAACTAGTCCTTACTATCCCTGTCTCTCTTCTAGTCCATTCCCTTCTAGACACAACCACCTATTCATTCGAAGTCCCAATCTTGTTAGATGACTTAACACTTGTCTGAAATCCTTTGAGGGCATAGCACTGCTGCAGATGAGCCAAAATCCTCATCATGACACAGGATCCTCTTTCAGTCTAACAAATGCCAAGACTTTAGGCACTAGGCTCAGCCTGTGGGTCACAACCCTTTTGGGGGTCGGGTCATCAAATGACCTTTTTACAGTGGTCATTTAAGATCATTGGAAAACAAAGATATTATGATTCACAACAGTAGCAAAATTACAGTTATGAAGCAGCAACAAAAGTAGTTTTATAGTTGGGCGTCACCGCAACATGAGGAACTGTGTTAAGCGTCACAGCATTAGGAAGGCTGAGAACTACTGCCCGAGATAATAAGATAGGCAAGCAGGAGACTTGATACCTCCTAACAAAGCATTAACGTTCCACTTTGCATCATAGCATTAGATCTTCAGTACAATTCTGATTTTGAGATTCCCTCTATTGTTTGGTAACATAATTTGTAGAAAATTAACATTCAATATTAAAAAAAAAAACTAAACTGAACAACTGCTAAAAGAACCAACCACAACATTGTTAGAAATATAATTAAAACGTAGGAACTTAGGGATTACAATTAACCTCAAAATTTAAATCTATATATAAACTTATTTTTATAAAATAAAATTTTATATTTTATAAAAAATTTTAACTTTCACAGATCTAAATATATAGCTATAAAATTTAAATATAAACATAAGATATAGAACTTTATTATTCATCAGTAAAAACGAGCGCCATACTTAAGCAAACATTTGTAAAAAGGCTACTCTACTCACCATCCCCAGCAGGAAGTCCTCTCTCCTTTTTCTGATCACATTTGTTGCACTCACTGAAGTACAGCAGCAGAAACATATCCAAAAGTACCCAAACCAAGGAGGTGGCTAGAACCACCTTGCAATATGCAAATTTTCTCATGGCACTTTAAGTCAAATGTAAAATTTTAATATATATATATATATAAATATACAAATATCATGAAAATTATTCCAATCTGGTTTCATCAGAAATCATGGTCATACCCTATAAAGAAAAAAAAGGCTGTCTTAAATTCAAGGAAATAGATCATGATTAATTTAACATTAAATATTAAGAGATATGAATTAATTTCATTAACAAGAAATTCTATTATTATATAGTAACTCTTACAGAGCAGTATCCAATTGAAAAATGAGCAAAGGATATAAAATGCCTTTATAAAAGACAACTTTAAATAGCTAATAACTATGTAAAAATGTGTTTATTTCCCTGTAACTAGATATGTAAATTAAAACAACAGTAAGCTACTATTTCAGTCTTCTCAAACAAGGGTCTTAACTCCCTTTCTGTTCAACTGCTCTACTGAATTCTAAGGCAAAAGCCGAACTATTAATTAACACCAGATCCTCAATAACTGACTATGCAGTTCTCCCTACAGTCTGTACAGTTTTTCACTGCAGGGAGAGAAAGAATTCTAAGACCTAAGACCGAGTCTTAACTCTGATGTTGCCAGTTTTTTAGTTCCTATCTCCCACTCTTCTCCATTTCATGACACTCTTCTATCACTGAGAACTCATTCACAATCCGGAATAATCATTTGGGATATTCTAACTAAAACTGTTTCCACCAAGTGAATGTTTATCTTGAAGAGCTCAGGAGCAGTCTGAGAAGAGTGTCATTGAGTAGCTAACACAAAGGCTCAAAGGCAAAGGCCTGGGTCTTGTCATTGCTGACAGGAGAGAAACACACCATATGTGTTCCATCAAGTAAGCAGAGGAAACACCTTGTACATGTGTTCCATGCTGAAAAGGGTATAAGCAAATGCCCTAAGAAGCAGGCAGATGGGCGATGTAGCAGTTTCACACAAGGGTGGCCAGCAGAGATGGATTATTTGAACAATTCAGAACAGGTGAGTTCATCTATGAACTACGTAGATAGTTCTTTACAAGGTTCTTAGACAAAAGCCAGAAAATTACCTGAAAAAGTACTAAATGATACTTGTAAGCATAAAGAATTATTATTTATTTCTGTTTTCGTTACCAGGGACTTTGATCTCTAACATATGTTTTCATCAGAACATTCTCTTAGACTGCAAGGTGGGGAGTAACAAGGGTGCTATTGATTTTTTCTGCCTCAAAATCATGCCTATTCAATGAGACATTTGACTGTGTTACATACAGTGAGTAGTTACTAATAACTACAGGAAAACATGAAAGAATTACAGAACACAGTATCGCAGCAAAGTGACTCTCACAAAAGCTAGGCACGCTCATTTATATTTGAGCGATGTCACAGGGAAGACCTACTACCTGGCAAAGAACCTGACTGCTAATACAGGAGATTTAAAATACAAACAAACAGGATCTCATGTAGATCAAGAGAACCTAAAACTCCTAGGGAGCCAAGGATGGCCTTAAATTTCTGTTCCTCCTACCGCTAAAAGTGCTAGGATTATAGGTATGCACCACAGTTAATAGGTTTATATGGAGCCAGGAATCAAACCCAGGATCTCATGTATCCAGGGCAAGCCTTTTATCAAGTGACTACGTCCCCAGACCCATTCTTTAAACTCTAATGAGCATTTCTCTAATATATATTACTGTCAGTTCATTTATATCTAAAAATGATGTCTTTTCACACTTAGACAACTAAGGAAAAAGGAAAACATGTCTACAAAACAACCTGTGTGCCAATTTCTTTTTAGTATCTTGAAGTATCCTTTATATAAAATACTTGGGATAAGAACTGCTCCAGATTTAAGTTTTTCAGATTTTGCAATATTTGTACAGACTTAATTTGTTTAGCTCCACAATCCAAAATCTGAAATATTCCAAAATCTAAAATTTAAAATCTAAAATTTAAGTGTTCATCTGCATTCAGCGTTCCAGATTTGAGAATATTTTAGATTTCTAACTAAGGATGTGCATACAAGTTATACATTTATACAGTGAAACACTACTCAGAATTTAAAAATCACTATGGTGATAACTAAAGTACCGCTGTGACCACTCTGAGTTATTATCTCAAGTTTAGAGGTCAGGAGAACAAGTATAACCTAGAATACTGCTGAAATCCTTAACAGAGCTTACTGGCTCATGTGTTTATCTGGAGCATGAAATGTTGAGTATTTTTGTTTCTAGCTCCTAGCTTACGTTTAGTAAAAGAATATCTTTTATCGTTCAAATTTCCCAAGTCTTAAGAAATACTTATACCTGGAAATCATTACTAATAATGAAAGTTTTTATGTCAAAGATTTTACCTTTCCTATTTAAGTAAGGGGCTAATGTCACCGACTCCCAAAATGATAAATTGTCTCCACTTACTTAAACAACAGGTCATGCTTTCCTAAAAAAAATGCAACAATCACCGTATTGTAAATCAAGTTTGTGAGACTCTATGTTTGGCTCCATTGACCAGTCTGTCTCTTCATATCTAGAAATGCTATCTAAATTATAATAACTAGCTTATTCTTGGCATATAGTAAAACAAGTCTTCTCAACTATAACTATTAAAAACATATTACACTTTTACTGTGTGTGTGTATGTGGGAGGATGATGGAGATCAAAGAACAATCTCCTGGAGTCAGTTCTCTATTATGTGGAAGTTCAGATCATAAAGTAAGTTATCTTTGAGGACCTAGGCAAGAGATAGGAGTTAAACTCAGGTTGTCAGGCTTAAAAGCAACTGCGTTAACCCACTAAGTCACCTTGATTGGTCACCTTTTTCACTATTCCTTTGGTTTTGGTTGGTTTTTCAAGATACGATTTCTCTGTGTTACAACTCTAGCTGTCCTGGAACTTGCTTTGTAGACTAGGCTGGCCTCAAACTCAGAGATTCACCTGACTCTGCCTCCTGAGTGCTTGTCTTACTGTTGTCTGCAGCACTATCTTTTGATGATAAATCTTAGCCAAGAGGTCATGCAAGTTTCCTAACAAATCAGTAGTAGACAAGCACCAGCACTCAGAGGCAGATGCAGGCATATTTCTGAGTTTGAGGCCAGGTTGGTCTACAGAGTGTGCTCCAGGACAAGACAGGGCTACACAGAAAACCCTATCTAAAAATAATATTAAATTAACTTAAAAAAATGAAAACAAAAACCAAATCATTAACAACTGAAACCTTCAAAACATGTGACATTAAAATTTGGTTTGCCACAGTTCCTACTTCTTCAAATGAATAAATCAGTGTATAGGGATGAAGTTAATAAAGCAGGCCTAAAATTGTTATCCTTAGAAAAGCGTAACAAGGTTGGTCCTTACCTCAAATCAGGGAATTTGAATTATAAACAGTTCTCTACAGTGATATAAAGCTTCCTCTAAATAAGAAGTGTGCTCTACTGTGCCTTAACTGTACAATCTGGTTTATGTTAAACATCCCCTTCTTCCTTCTGTGATTTTGGAATTTTGGTATGTGCCAGATATAAGGTATCTTTACATGCCCAACCCAGTAAAAAACCTAGGGCATGAGCCGTCTCTCCCTTCTCTCCTCTCCTCCTCTCTCTTTCTCTCTTTTTGCCCCTCTCTCTGTTCTTCTTCTTCCCCTTTCCTTCCATAACCCACTTAATAAATATCCAACCTCACTCTGCGTGGCGTGCCTATCCGTCCATCTCATAGCAGCCACTTGGGGATCTGCAGCATATTTATTTAATCCATTACAAATATTCCATGTGTTGTCACGACTGTTGGAGAAACTAATCACACACTGCCATCCCTCAGGGAAAGAATGCTTACAAGCTTACTCCTGGTTTCCTCCAGATTTTAAATGTGTCCTTTTACTGCAATGTATCTCCGTTGCTAGTATTCCTATACTGAAGTCATTTAAGTCCTCCAAGTCAATTAGAAGATCTGGGAGTAGTCTAAGGAGCCCCATATTAAAACAAAAGGAAATGCTTACTAAACCAAATGTTTAAACTCAAATTTCAGTTCTAACACTTGTTTGTTATGTGGTCTTAGCAGGGTCAGTTTACTTTATTTGCGACAAACAAAACCTGCACAGCCTCTTCTTATATAGCTCCACTGCAATAATATACACTCAGTAAATAAATGGTATTTCTAAAGGTGCTTTCTTAGAGGAAGAAATTTTACATATACATGGATGCAATGAAAATGAACATCTGAAATGCTGCAAAGAGAAGTTCACAGACAAATTACTCCAGTATCTTCACACTGGTACTGTGAATTAGTTCTCAGTCACTAGAGAAGATTAGGGGTAAGTTTAGTTCTACCTAAAGACTTCCTTTCTGAACCTGGTCCTCATTTAGTCTTCAAACTGATTTGCTAATGAGAAATAACTATAAATGTACTAGTATAGCAGTGCTGGAACCACAAACTGCTATTTCTCAAATTTTATTAAAGTAAGAACTTAGTACAAAACCCTTCTACGGCTAAGCATGGTGGCACATGCCTTTAATGCTTGAAGGTGAGGAAGGAAGAAATGCAAGTAGAGCTCTGTGAGTTTGAGGCTAGCCAGGGCTACAGAGGGAAATTCTGTCTAAAACAAAAACAAACAAACAAGCCAGGCGGTGGTGGCACAAGCTTTTAATCCCAGCACTCAGGGAGGTAGAGGCAGGCGTATATCTCTGTGAGTTTGAGGCCAGCCTGGTCTACAGAGTGAGTTCTAGGGCAGCCAGGACTGTTTCAAAGAAAAACCAAAACAAGCAAATAAAAAAAACAGCAGCAGCAACAACAAAAATCTTCCAATGCATGTATATAAGACATAAAATCCAACGCATATTTTAAAATCCATGGAGAAGTGCAACCTTGAAGTCCCTGATTTCCAATTTTATCAACTTACCCCAAAGAGGCTTTTCAAATGAATTCATATCACAAATCCACATGTTTCACATCATCTGTTGAAAAATAAATTTCCTAAAATCAGTAAATTTCAAAGTAACTCTTTCCTGTTCCCTTTCCTCCACTATCCTATACACCCGACTTAGGCTAGCTACCCACTTGAATGCAAGGGTCATTAATTATTCAGCTACTTCTCTGAGTAAAGTACCTGGAGCATAGGCACTCCAGTTAATGTCTAATATATATATATATATATATATATATATATATATATATATATATACACACACATATACATATATACATGTGTATAGTGTATGTATGTACGTGTGTATATGTATATTGTGTATATGTGTGTGTATATACATACATACATACATATATATGTACGTATATATACATACATACATATATATGTAAGTATATATACATACATACATACATATATATACACACATATACACAATATACATATACACACGTACATACATACACTATACACATGTGTATATATATATATAGTATGTTACTGAGAACTAACAGCAAATTCTCGTTTACTCCTTATTTCATACCCAAAATTTTCACCATATTAGACTCCAGTGGAATTCTAATGATAATTCTCTACTAGGCCACCTATTCCTGATTGGACCATGCCAACCACAGCCCCTCTATTTACCTTGTCAAAGCACAAGACTAAAGCATGATCAATGGGACCTGTAGGGAAATCTGTCAGAAAGTATTGGGGAAAAAGATGACAAAGGAGAAATATTTGTTTCTACTTCTAGATACTCTGAATCAACACATACTTCAAGTCCTGAAGCTATCTTGAAGCCATAAGAAAAAAAAGACTTTATGGTGCTGAGAATGGCAAACTGAATCTGTGGAAAGCATTTGGACCATGGTATCATGAAGCCAGATCAACCTTGAAATCTCCTTCCTTCATATGAACCTCCTTGTGAGATGATAAAACTCTCAGTGATGAGGCACTGTGCTCCTACATCAAAAATCCCCTAATAACACCTTTCAAGCTACAATCATTGATTCAGATGAGAATACATCCTGTGGGGAAAAAAAAATGAAAGTGTAAATAGAGGATCTGTCTAGCAGCAGAATTTCAACATAAATTTAATGACTACAAACTAGAATCTGGTGTAACATTTCCATCTTAGAAATGATATTAAAGTCATGTATCATTTAACAAGAGTGTGTTCTGAGAAACTTGTCATGATGTAGTTTCATTACTGTTTGAGCATAAAACTGTTACTTACATAAACCCAGCAGCAAAGCCTACTACAAATCTAGGTTCTAAGGTGTATGTATCATGGTATATTTGGTCCACCTTTGTGTGAAACCCTGTGCATGGCTTCAGCTAATCAACTGAAAAATCACATATTCCCAGTATGTTAAACTGTCAATTATATACAAGACACTGTTAACAGAGAAAAATAAAACATGAAAAAGTTCAGTCTCAGGTATAGTGTTATTGGGTTCCTCCCAAAGACTGTATGTTAGAAACAGGGATAAATGAAGCGATGGGAATAGGGACTCCCATGATGGTATTAGTGTCTTTTATTAAAGAAAGGAGAGAGAGATGTCAACAGAAATACACATTTACTTTTTTGGTTTTGTTTTTTTGAGATGGAGTCTCACTATGTAGCCTTAGTTGGCCTGGAATTCACTATGCAGACCAGGCTGGCCTCAAACTCACAGAGATTCACCTGCCTGCCTTACATACTTGTGTCCCTCCACCATGTTATAACATAGCAAGAAAGTCCTCACCAGATGCTGATTCCTTTGATACTGGACTTCCTAGTCTTCAAAACTAAGACAATACACTGCTTTTATTTATGATTCATTTTTTCAATAATTCTGTGGTAGGAACATAAAAAATCTTATCTTCAGACATGGTAGGATGGTGGAGCATGTCACAATTTACAAATTGATTTTACATCTTTGCAAAATGTTTCAAAAGTATGAGAAGATGCTGGGTGGTGGGGGAGCACGTCTTTAATCCCAGCACTCGAAGTTAGTGGCAGGTGGATCCCTTTGAGTTTGAGGCCAACCTGGTCTACAAAGGGAGTTCCAGGGAAGCCAGAGCTGTTACACAGAGAAACTCTGTCTTGAAAAACCAAAAACAGGAAAAAAAAGTATGAGTAGATACAGATTATAAGGAAGGAAAAAAAAGGAAGAAAAAACTGGTGAGAAGAAATATCAATTTGTTTTATGATACAGAAAAGGCAAAAGTATATGATAGGAAAAAGGTAAAGATATATTTGCATAAACTGAGCTTAAAAAGAAGCAGGTAAATGTATAAATGTCTGTCAACAGCAAACAGAATTAGGAGCTCATAGTTCAAAGATATATGGCAAACAGGAATTCTTGGCTACATTCTAAGGCATCTAAAAAGTAATACCCAGGGTAACATCTATCACTTTTATCACTTCAACACAAATGCCTAAACATTAAGAAAGAGTGTATGTTAGATTTCCCCTAGCCAAAAACCTAGACACTAAAAAACAGCATTGAACATTATCATTTTGGGGAGCAGTTTCTGGGACATAAAGAATCCAACAGGAACTTCCCCAGATCAGAAGCTAACACTATTTTCTAGTCTTGGAATTCTCAAAGTTTAGAAGGGTTTCTTCTGTATTTTGCCAAACTACCAATCTTACTCCATAATTATGCCTTATTTCCCTCCAATTATCTGCTCTCCTCTGTGCAAGTGGTCTTTACATTCTGGTGTGGCTTCATATCAGTGAAATGGCTTCTTGATGAAATCACTACTCTAATGTCCTACCAACATCACCAATCAATTTCTTTTTCAGCCACAATGTACTTGATGTTTCAACCATCTTTAATTATGTTTAGAACAGTCAGGGTAAAAACTAAAAAAGAATTCTCTTGGTTTGCAGTCTTTAGACTTCTTTACTACCCACCCTGACTCCTTTGTCTCTGCTGAGGAGACATCCTCAGAGCACAATTAAAACAAATGTTATCACGATTAAGATAATAAAAAGAAAAAGCATGGCCATTAAAAGATAAGGTGTGACATTTAATGAAGTGCCATGTGCTTGGCATGTGGCCTCCATGAGACAAAAATCAAAAGCATAAAGACACCACAAGGTCCTTTCAGTAAAAGTATAGAAATGTGTATACACCAAAGTGCAAGCTATGCTACACTAATTTGCCCATGAAGAGTTATGATCTTCAGATGAAACAAGAACAATGATCTGAAAATACCTTGACTTCAAAATTTGGATCTAAGGTTATGATGCTTTGGAAACATTCTTCTTTTGTTTTCACAGAGGATGAGACCCTGTGGATTGCTTCTGTCCCAATAAGGTATGATAGACCACGCCCTCCTGAAAGGTTGCTGTGAACACCTTTAAAAAATTATTTCACTCAACTGCCGACTGAGATGAACCTGGCACACAGGTTACACCATAAAAGACCTGATTAACAGTGCCCCTATACAACAGGGAGAAGTTTGGAGAGAAAAAACTGTGCCCAAGTTCCCAAATATTGCTTATAAATGTCTTTTACATTTAAAGGGGGAGATGATATAGATATGAATAATTTGCATTGGTATAAATCTTGGTTTATTGACATAAATTTAAGGTCAATCTTGTTATATGTATTTGTATTTCTGATATTAAAGTATTGTGATTGTATAGTTCATTTAAATGTAATGTATAATTAGGAAAAATAGGTTGTTAATGGATAATCATCAATAATAGTCAAGCTTGTAGTCATGTTAGATTTTCTAGATGTGCATAGATATAGTTCAGATAGGCATTCTTTATATCTTTCAAAGACTACAGAATATGGCATTTAATGTTTTAATAACTTAGGGCTTTTCATGACAATGAGACACGTCTGCTCCTGGCAGCACCAGCTACTTCAAGAGGAAGATGGGCATTGAAGAGGCTCCTTATGGAGTTTGATAGCCATTTGGGCAAGAAATTGCTCTTGCCTGGACTGTTGCATAAACTGGACACAAAGAACCCACAGAGAGGACTGCTAAACTTGCCTAAAGGCAAGATGGTCTTAAGGGGTTCCTGATTTATGAAAGAGTCTACGAGACATTCTGCAGGACACAGCAAAAAGTGAATGAACTGTCTTTGAATTTTCCTGCTTCATGGGAATGTCTGCTGGATACTATGGGCCTGTAGGGTGAAGATGGATGCCCTAAAGGTACAAAAAACTTTGGGTGACTGTCCAGACAGAGAGATGTCTCTGTTATTTCTAGAGTTTTGAAAGTTGCTTATTTCTTTTTACTTAGATAATATTATATCCTTCTGTTGAAGAATGATTAGTTATAGTTACAGTTTTCCTTAGTTATGATAAAAGATAAAATAGATATAAATATTGTATCTGTAAATCTTGCTTTGTAACTATTTTGTTATATGTAATTTTGCTATGTTAAAGTTAAAGCCTTCCTTTTTGTTTAAACAGAAAAAGGGGAAAAGATGTAGGAGGGTCTTCTATCTATCTGTTGCTTTCATTGGTTAATTAATAAAGAAAACTGCTTGGCTCAATAGGTCAGAGCACAGGTAGGCGGGGAAGACAGAACAGAATTGTGGGAGAAAGAAAGCAGAGTCAGGCCATTGCCATGAAGCTCCAGCCCAAGATGGACGTAGGTTAGAATCTTAACCTACGTAGGTAAGCCACGACCTCGTGGTGCAATACACATTAATAGAAATGGGTTAATCAAGGTGTGAGAGTTAGCCAGTAAGAGGGTAGAGCTAATGGGCCAGGCAGTGTTTAAATAAATACAATTTGTGTGTTGTTATTTAGGGTGTAAAGCTAGCCGTGCGGGAACCGGGCGGAACGAAAAGCAGGCCTGCTGGCCTCATCACTACAGTCCCACAACCCTGACCCCTGTAGTGCCTGAGAGGTGAACACAACAGATAGAACAAAGCAAGAAGAATTTTCTTGAGAAGAGAGATACAAGCTGAAGAGAAAGAAAGGAGCAGGTTCCTGACAACACAATGCCATATATGGAGGAAAAGAAAAACCAAACAATGCTCTCTGCTGCCCAAAGCCCCTTTCTGGG